AGCAGAACCCTGGTTGGTCTTATTTTTTGGATTATATTCATTGAGACAAATGCTGACTTACGTTTTTCATACTAATTGTTAGTCTCGTTATTATCCCCTCGCGCAACTAGTTGCAGTGGGTATACAGCATCGCGAATGTGCGTATGTATGTTTGTGTTAGTGTGTCCGTTACAGCTTGTAGGCAAGATTAGAGAAAACCTTTTGACTACTATTATCAATTCTCAGGCTTCGATATACTTATGTGACATTGTAAAAGGATGAACCCTATTCATTTTCAAATTAATCAGTGAAATGTTCCTTAAAATATTACTTTCAAATCCTGAAATTTAATGTACGACTTGACAATACTTATTTGTGTATTAATATGAAGCAGAATTTGTACAAAATCTTATACGTGAAAAGAAGAAATTAAAACACTTACTGTGGCCTTCAACTCGACATTTAGATACATGTCAATTAACAATCGTATTTTCGATTCAGGACTACGTCGATATGATATATCCTGGTGAGCTTGAAATAAAAGATAGACAAAAAAGAAAGTCTGACACATCTGTTTCATACTTTGATAAATTACTTGAAAAAGACATTAATAGTAAACTAACAACCAGGCTCTATGATAAATGTGATGATTTAACTTTTCTGTCGTCAACTTCCCTTACTTATGGATTAATATACCTTTATCAACTGTATGCGCGGATCTAGAGGGGGATCAGGGTGGGGGATCCGCCCCCTTGAATTTGCAGAGTTATTAAATTCCTGGATCCGCACATGACATGCATGCGGAGTTTTTGTATCTCAGTTGATTCGATACGCAAGAGCATGGTCTACGTGTGAACAATTTTTTGACAAACAAGTTGGTGAAACTAAAATAATACATAAAAATGTATCCCACATAAGGACAAGTCAGTGGTCAGTAACTGTATAAACTTACATGTAGGTCCCTGGTCTCATTTAAAGCTGACATGGACTCTTAAATAGAAAAAAACACTAATACGATATGCATTCAGGTACAGCAAATGCATACATGCTTGCAGCTCGGGAAAACGCGTCGAACACGTTGATGAACACTTTTACCTGAATATTACATTTTTTATTGAAAAATTAATCTAATTAGTCATGTAATCCATTCATAACTCAACGGTAAAAAATTGCCACTGCATAGCACTTTTTGAAATAAGGAGTCGATCCTCACATCGCGGGTTGCGGGTTCGAATCCCACTGTGAAATGTGGAGTCCGGTCCTTCGGATGAGACCGTATAAACCGAGGTCCCGTGTCGCAGTAGGTGCTGGTACGAAAAATGCCTTCCCTGCTCAATAGCCCCAAGTGCAAAGTATAGGACAAAATTTGATGTTGTCCACCAGCAAGTGGTGGCGTCACCATAGGAGTAAAAAATTCTCGAGAGGGAAGTTTTACAAAATACAATCAATCATATTCTGTAAATGTAATTTTTTAACACGCTAACAGTGTTTATATAGTTTGCGTTCTATAAATAGAATGTTAGTAGTAAACGTTTGCTGGTTTTCAAGAATGTTGTTCCGTTTGTTCAATTTTCCTAAACGTATTTGAGTGTAGTGCTTTTGCATAAAGAGGTGTATTGAGTAATATTATGATAAACATTGAGAACAAGCTTGTGTAAAGCAGAAATGCTGAATAGTCATATAATAATGGTTCACCATGTGTATCAGAAAAAAATGTATATGTTTAACGTGTGTATTGTTTCTTTATGAGTAGGTCCCATCACGAGAGAGGAAGTGCGTACATGTAGTATCAGGAACCCACTGAACTTAATATCCAGTGAAGTGTTGTAACTTTTGTGCTTTTGAACTTGAAGTGAAAGTTGCTGTTCTGCGTCACGCTCGCTGCTCCGTAGTCATGGGTGCGGAGTGAAGGTCAAAATTTGAAGCCCTAAACTGGGATATGGTGACGTCTCTACATGAATGCAAAATTTTCGAATGGGGCGTAAAACAACATGCAATCAATCAAAGTAACATTAATGGAGCAAAACGTATAGAAATCAAAGCATTAAAATATGGAATAGCCAAGCTTTGATTAAAATGAAAGAAAAAGTGAGCAAGCTCACATACCCCACGCTCCCCCAAAACTCAAAGTGCTGAAAATCCCGGAAAAAATGAAAAAAATCGGAATTTCCCGGTAATATGCACATCTACACATTGTGTCCTAAATATCTGCAAAGTTTAATGAAATTCTGTGCAGCGGTTTATGAGGAGTTGCGCTGACAAACTGTTCATCTCTATATTCAAGGTATGGCCAAGTGCCTAAGTTAAAAAGTGCGGAAATTCCCAGAAAAATAAAGGATTCGGAATTTCCTGGTAATATGCACATCTACACACTGTGTCCTAAATATCTCCAAAGTTTGACGAAATTCTGTGCTGCGGTTTATGAGGAGTTGCGCTGACAAAATCTTCATCTCTATATTCAAGGTATGGCCAAAAATCTAATTTGAAAAGTGTGGAAATTGTAAGAAAAAAAAAGGAATCGGAATTTCCTGGTAATATGCACATCTACACACTGTGTCCTAAATATCTCCAAAGTTTGACAAAATTCTGTGCAGCGGTTTATGAGGTGTTGCGCTGACAAACTGTTCATCTCTATATACAAGGTATGGCCAAAAATCTAAGTTAAAAAGTGCGGAAATTCCTAGAAAAAAAAAAGGAATCGGAATTTCCTGGTAATATGCACATCTACACATTGTGTCCTAAATACCTGCAAAGTTTGACGAAATTCTGTGCAGCGGTTTATGAGAAATTGCGCTGACAAACTGTTCATCTCTATATAAAAGGTTTGGCCAAAAACCTAAGTTTTTAGTGCGGAAATTCCCGGAAAAAATAAGGAATCGGAATTTCCTGGTAATATGCACATCTACACATTGTGTCCTAAATATCTGCAAAGTTTGATGAAATTCTGTGCAGCGGTTTATGAGGAGTTGCGCTGACAAACTGTTCATCTCTATATAAAAGGTATGGCCAATTGCCTAAGTTAAAAAGTGCAAAAATTCCCGGAAAAAATAATGGAATCGGAATTTCCTGGTAATATGCATATCTACACATTGTGTCCTAAATACCTGCAAAGTTTGACGAAATTCTGTGCAGCGGTATATGAGGAGTTGCGCTGACAAACTGTTCATCTCTATATAAAAGGTATGGCAAAACGCCTAAGTTAAAAAGTGCGGAAATTCCCGGAAAAAATAATGGAATCGGAATTTCCTGGTAATATGCATATCTACACATTGTGTCCTAAATACCTGCAAAGTTTGACGAAATTCTGTGCAGCGGTTTATGAGGAGTTGCGCTGACAAAAAAAAAGGACTGTTTGACTGACTGACTGAATGACACTCTGACGGACGGGTCAAAAACATTATACCTCACGCAACTAGTTGCGTGAGGTATAAAAACATTTCTGATTTATTCGATTGAAAGAACTGAATCAGGCAAAGGGAATCACTCATGGGTGACAACTAGAATATAGCGACAGGATTTGTTGAATGTACACTTGATACAGAAACAAAAATCATCAGAATCTAAGCTAGCTATGTAACGGAGAAAGTTTAGTTTTTTCTCCTTACGACGGATGGCAGCATAGACAATAATGCCACTAAATGGGACACTTTGTTAATGAGATTCCGTGGTGATGGAAAAAAAAATTATAGGACATCCACGATCAACAAGTACGCTAGACTTACTAAACTTTGAAGAGAGGAAAAAAAGTATGAGAACAGATGCACGTGCATAACATAACCTAGTTGGCTTTGGCAGTGATGGTGCCTATAACGTTAACACTTTGGAATGTAAGAATGGACTAAGTTTCTTTCCTTCAGAGAGATCAAAATTCTGAAGTTATTGCAATTCATTGCATGACATATGAAATAGAACATGCTTTTAAGAACGTCTTCAGGAAAGACCATAACTACTTTCAACTGTCAAGTCTCCCACAAGGATTGACTTGCTTTGACAAAAATTGCGCAAAGCAAAAAAGGAAGTTAGGGAAACACGTGGGTAATAATGCCAATATAAATTGTTATGAAAATATTTAATCTTTTAGCACTAAAACTATTCTTTCTTGACAATTATTAAAAGGTGTGAAAGGAAGGCCACATACGTCAGAAGTACAAAAAAACAACAACAGGAAGCAGCAGACCCAGTCACATTTCAAGAAACTGTGGTCACTGATCAGTGACAGCCTTCCTTTGGGAGCAGGAACAGAAGAAACTGAAATGCAGAGATTTAGAGGAGTAGAGAGGGAGATAATTTTACGAGAGAGAGAGATTCATATGGAAGAGGGGAGTTATGCAATCGCATCAACCCGGGTATTTCCGTCAGAGGTCGGAAAAACAACCTCGAATGTATTAAGAAAACCGGATGTTAAAAAGTTATACATTTCCTGTTTATTCAAATATAGGATATGCGGAATAAGAAGTCCCTTCTATATTTTAGGTAATGTCATTACATTGAATAAAGTTAAACTCCATATTCCACAAATATAAGGTCCCCATGAATTTATTTCAAAGATCGCAAAAATGGAGGGTTGTCATGGCGTCTTCCATATACATTCGAGGTCGTTTTTCCGCTATTCGGAAAGGCCCGAGAAGTTGCGATTGAGAAGTTAGGTTGAATAAAAAAAAATGAGCAAAGTATGGAAGAAAAAGAAATATTACTGAGAGAATTAGTCAGAAAAATGGAAGTTAAAAGAGACCTTTAATTCTCTATGGCAATTAAACTGGAAATTATTTATCAGTATTTGAATCAGTTCTTCAAGCATTCTGATGGAAAAGTGAATATTTGTGTGGATCAGGGAATCACAGGTCCACATAACAAGTTAATATTTTTAGTTTACTTCAAAAACTCTACTCGTTAAGTAAAGAAGATGTGTGTCCATCGATGAATAAGGTGAACAAAGTTTGTATTTCAAAATTTTAATACAGATAAAAAGAGGCATGTACATAAAGTTGTAAGAATATATTATGCTGAACAAACTTTTTGAAAGATTTATGATAATTGAAGTATCTCGATAACTGCCCATTTTCATCCTTTATACTTCAGATCTGTTGCTATGAAAAGTGTGTCCTGTAAAAACAGAAAGGATAATTTTAATTTGCATAAAAATGGAAAACGTCAATTTTCAAATGTTAGCATATTCGAAAGATTTTCAACATTTTTATAGATATTTATATGGATTTTCGTGAAACGTTACTAATCTGGGAAAACAAAGAGAGATAACACTTTGATTTTGGTAAAACTTGTGTTTTTCATTATAGAACTCAACGGAAAATATTTCTATTGAAAACGTCTTTCACCTCGTGAAAAATTTTTTTTTACAGGTAATATGGACTGTCATTTTGGGGCCATATCTTGCAAAATTAATGCAACCACTGGGCCGGGAAAGATGAAACTCATTTGGAAGCATCTTGTGGTAGGGTAAATTCAAGTTTGTTCAAATCATGACCCCCTGGGGTAGGTCGGGGTAATAAAGTTTTACATAAAACAAATATATAAAACTCTTGTCAAGAATAGCAAAGCCATGATTAGTTCCTAGTTACATTGTATATGGAAGTATTGTCTGGTACATGTAATGTAGATTCAAGTTTGTTCATATCATGACCCGCGGGGTAGGTTTGGGCCACTATGGGGTATCAAACTTTAACATAGCAATACAAGTTTGTTCAAACACTCCCCCGCCTCCCCTGAACTCACTTTTCAATACTGAACTCTTTTTGCTTTTACCTTGCTAGTTGCTCAAATGAGAGATTTGGCCCCTCGGCATCTTGTTAAAATCTTAATTTACAGTTTTATTTTATTTTGAAAAGGAAATATAAGGAATGTCAGGGGATGCCCTAAACAGAACTAGACATTGATACATAAGATAGAGTTCTCTAGATCTTGTACATGTAGCAGTAGTCGCCCGCGTGGCGCACTGGTTAGAGCGTGTGCTCTAGAGTCGAAAATGGAGTTCATCTTTACATGAAGGTCGCGGGTTCGAATCCCATTATGGAACGTAGAGACCGGTTCTTCGGATGAGACCGTATAAATTGGGTTCCCGTGTCGCAATAAGTGCTGGCATAGAAAAGATCCACAGGACAACATTTGCAGCTCTCCACCAGCAAGTGGGGGCGTCTCTATTTGAGTGGGAAATTCTCGAGAGGGACGTAAAACAGCATACAATCAATCTTGTAGCAGTACGTGCTAACACGAATAAAAAGGCCACGAGTACCGAGAACAGGTCTAAATATGCACCCAACAGGAACAAGCAGTGGCATCTGAACAAAATTCTTGAAATGGCATTGAAAAAAATATATTAGCAATTGAAAGAGAAACAAATTTTTATTGAATTTAACACCTTGTTTCGAGGAGAAAGACTTGTAATTTTTAAATAAGTTGCTTCTTTTTTTGAAAATCTAAATTGACTTCATATTGTTTAATTCGGAGCCGAGCAGTTTAGGAAAGATCCACTATTCCTGCGACCCAGGGTAAAGTTTAACCATAATTTCTGTAGGTTATACAACTCCTATCAAAAATATATCAATTGAGAAATGTTTCGAACAAAAATCTTTTCGAATCCTTCTTATAAATATGATAGTACATGTACCTCTGCAAAGATTAAAATTGTTCCTAGCATTTCAACTAAAGAAAATATTAAAACAAAAGGCAAATTTAAATTCGTATGTACAAAATTATGTGTCATTGAAGGTCTTGAAAATTTAAGTAGAGGATGTGGATTAACTTGTGCCTCATAAAGATTTTTTTTCGCTGATTAGTACGGTATACTAGAAAACTGACCAGTCAGCAAGGGCCCCGCCAAATTAGAATTATAAGGGTTGCAGCTTATGGAATGATTTAAGAAATATATGACGAATAAGAAACAGCAACTGTATTCTTAAAATTTCAAGATAATTCCCGAATGTCCAAAAACCTGTCATGTTGTAAATTTTGAATTTACCGGGTGGCTGTAAATACAAAATATACAACTTGTCATGTTGTAAATTTTGTATTTACTGCCACCCGGTAAATTCAAAATTTACAACATGACAAACCTGTAAATAATATCCTTGTATTTATTTTACATAAGGCAGTAAAGAACAACTCAACACTGAATGTATATCTAAATAATAGTGAAGCTTTTGTTACATAAAATGCCAGCCTTCAATGAATGCAAATACATATCATGAAGGCTTGACCTTAACTTCAAAACAAACAGCAGTTGCAGACAAAGGTTTTCATTAATCTTAAAGTGACAGATAAAGATAAGCCTTCTAAATTTTCTGCAGCAGGCTAGATAATTAATCCCAAGGGATTAAATACACTCTCTCTCATCATTTTCTTCTTAATTTATAATAAGAACTTTTTCAGCAATGATAGAATGATCAAGGTTTTTATCCAACTGCCTTAAAAATTAATAATATTCTTGAATTTTCATGAAGAAAAAAAAAAAAAAAAAATAAGCAAATAAAAATAAAAAATATATCTTCTTTAATCTATTTCTTCTTTTTCGAAGTCAATGAAATTAAAACTCATCGTGTAGGCTATTTCAACAAAAAAAAAGTAAAAACATTTATACTTCAATCCACATTTCATAGTGTTCATAGCATTCCAAATGGACTTAACTTCAAAACAAACTTCATTTGCAGACAGAGGTGTTAATTAATCTCAATGTGACAGATAAAGATAATGCTTTGGATTTTCTTCAGGAGGAAAGCTAATTAATCCCAAGGGGCTCATTCACTGCAGTATTCAGTTTACAACATTTTCAGAAATTATCTCTCTTTCCCAATTCATTCTTATATAAAGTTAAGGAATCTACCCCACCACCCCAGCTCCAAACCAGAGGACATAGAGAAACAATTTTAGCATCAAAATATGTCTTTTTGCCTACTGAACTACCATACCAAATTTGAACTTAATTGGGCTACCATAAAAAAAGTTATTAGGAAAAAACAGAAAATTTGTGGACGGAAGAAGGACAGACAGACAGACAGAGTGATTACTATAGGGCACCCGCAAATCCTTGCGGGGCCCTAATTAATTTTTTAGAATTACTCAGAGCAGAGTCAACCTTTATTTCGGAAGCACTTGATAAACACTTGAATAATTTAGGATTTTTTATTATTGGCAGCCCTCAAAAGTTTTACATGCATAATACAAACCCCAGAAAAATCACTCACGCAATTATCACACTGAAAGTAAATGTCTCTTAAGAAAGAAAAATAGTTGGATAACCAGTGTAATTTTTATTTTTATAGAAAATGGGATGAGAAGACCTGCGTAGTACTCAGTAACGCAAAGTAAAGGAAAATTATCCGTTACCTTAGCAATTGTCAGTTGGGTGTCAACAAAGTGTACAGATTCGATAACAGGAAGAGGAAAGCCTTTATTTCCAAAGTCTAAAAAACAAGTTATATATATAATACATGTATTTTACCATGCGTATATGTACCAATTATTAAAGCTGTAAACAAAATACATTGATTCGAATTTTAAGTATTTTTAAAAATGAATTTTTACATTTATAGGAAAAAAGAATAACCCGGGTATATACAAATAACTAAATTTTCCTTACCAGGCAAAAACATTTCTATGGGCTCATCAATTACAATTCTTAGAGTACAGAAATAACGCCTGTCAAATACTTTATCTCACAGATATAATATCCTCGGAGGTCCATGAATCGTTTCCCAAATTTGATTGTGTCCGATTTGTTAAAAAAAAATATACAGGGCAAAAATTGTAATTTGAATACGTGATTTTTGTTGACATCATGTAAACAATGCGCACAAAGGACGACTTTCACATTTACAAAAGGTATTCCTCTTTGCGGGGTCAATCCAGATCAACCGGCATAAGGCACTGTTTTCCCTCTATAACCTTACCAACTTTATGGGTCAGTATATTAGAGAAATAAAATCTCTATGGATATGTTCATTATTTTTTTCAAATTGCCCCATACTCGGTTAATACAGGTACAGATTTAAAATATTAGCAGGTAACTTTAAAAAATGAGCGTTACGTCTACAACGGGAGATAACTCGTAGGAATGTGAAATTCATCTTTTGTACCAGTACACTTGAGATAGGTCGTACATTGTAGTTTCTAAGAAAAAAAATATTTTAGACTTTTGTTTCAAACATGTGTTAAATGAGGTGAAATTTTGTTTCAGACTACATTTTTCTTTTATCTGTTTTGACTTTTTTATCGTCTGCAGTTGGAAAATATAATAAATACAATCCAAATTGTAATTTTAGCTGGCCGAAGGCTAAGTGAACTGTCCGTTGTCTGTCGTCGTCGTCGTAGTCGTCGTTGTTGTCGTCGTAAACTTTTCACGTTTTCATCTTCTTTGGGCCAATTTCAACCAAATTTGCCACAAAGTATCCTTGGGTGAAGGGGATTCAAGTTAGTTCAAATGAAGGGCCACGCCCTTTTCTAAGGGGAGATACATGTAATTATGAATTAGGGAAGAATTAATGGCATCTTTTAAAAATCTTCTCAAAAACCACTGGGCCAGGAAAGATGAAACTTATGTGGAAGCATCCTCAGGTAGTGTAGATTCAAGTTTGTTCAAATCATGACCCCCGGGGTTAGGGTGGGGCCACAATGGACGATCAAAGTTTTACATAGGAGTGTATAGGGAAAATCTTTAAAAATCTTCTCAAAAACCACTGGACCAGGAAAGATGAAACTATGAGGAAGCATCCTCTGGTAGTGTAGATTCAAGTTTGTCCAAATTATGACCCCCGGGGTTAGGGTGGGGCCACAATGGCCGATCAAAGTTTTACATAGGAGTGTATAGGGAAAATATTTAAAAATCTTCTCAAAAACCACTGGGCCAAGAAAGATGAAACTCATGAGGAAGCATCCTCTGGTAGTGTAGATTCAAGTTTGTTCAAATCATGACCCCCGGGGTTAGGGTGGGGCCACAATGGCCGATCAAAGTTTTACATAGGAGTGTATAGGGAAAATATTTAAAAATCTTCTCAAAAACCACTGGGCCAAGAAAGATGAAACTCATGTGGAAGCATCCTCAGGTAGTGTAGATTCAAATTTGTTCAAATCACGACCCCCGGGGTTATGGTGTGGCCACAATGGCCGATCAAAGTTATACATAGGAGTATATAGGGAAAATCTTTAAAATTCTTCTTCTCAAGAGCCACTGTGCCAGTAAAGATGAAACTCATGTGGAATCATCCTCAGGTAGTGCAGATTCAAATTTGTTCAAATCATGACCCCTGGGGGTAGGGTGGGGCCACAATGGCCGATCAAAGTTTGACATAGGACTAGATAGGGAAATCTTTAAAAATCGTCTTCTCAGGTACTTCAAAGCTATGATTAACGATATTTATATGGAATCATTCTCAGGTATAGATTCTAGTTTGTTCAAATTGTAACCCCCATGGATAGGGTGGTGTCACAATGGGGGATCCAAGTTTTACATTCAAATATATATTTTTAAAAATCTTCTCAAGAATAGCAAAGCCATGATTAGTAAAATACAAGTATTTATATGGAAGCATTTTCGGGTAGTGTAGAATGAAATTTGTTCAAATCCTGATTTAAATTTATTCAAATCATGGCCCTTTAGGGTAGGGCGGGAAACAATGGGGAATCAAATTCAAATTTTTATAAAGTTATATATAGGAAGGGAATGTTTTTTAAAAATCCTTTTATCAAGAACAGCAAAGTAATATGCTGTATTAATATGAAGGCATTCTCAAGTAGTATTAAATTCAACCCCCCCCCCTCTTTCAGTAAACTTTTCCGTTCTGATCAGATTTGTGCTTTTTCCTAGCCGATTTGCTCAGGTGAGCGATGTGGCCCCTGGGCCTCTTGTTTAAAGAGATACGGTGCAGCTGCGGGCAAATTTTCAATGAAATAATTGACGAAAATTCAAAGAAAAGACAAGACTCTAGGAACGTAACGAATTTAGGGCCTCCGATGATATATATGTATTTTAACGTATCAATACATAGATGATAATCATAAAGAAAACCTACCATTTAGTTTTGGTTCCACAAATACCGCAACAACGCCTTTTATAATCAAATCCAATACCTGAGGCTTTCCAGAAAAAAAAAACTTTAAAATTAAATGACTAATACATGTGGCTTTCCAGAAAAAATCTTTAAAATTAAATAATTACGCAAATACAATGCTTTGTACTATATTTTTAAGTCTGAAAACAAGATAGTATACTGTATACCTATCCAACTTACCGAAAGCTGCCCAATTTTTGAATCTTTTACTTTAACAGCAATCCTAAGTTTTAAATTAAAAAAAATGTTAAAACAATAAAAAATTGTGGAAATAAACTTTCCACTCGTTAAATATATGGTTGTTTATGTGACATATGTTTAATTTATTACATAATTTTATTACATTAAATTTTGTTTAACAATTTTATTAAGATTTTTTCAACAGCTGCAGATTTTCATTAAAATAGTTGAATTCACACTTTTCAAGTTATGTCCACTGACCGCCATATTTGGGGAAATCCTCACACTAGCCTTTATAGTTTTCTGGTTTCTAACTTTGTCATTTGACTGGAAGAAGTATGTGCAAATCCATATATCAGAAGAAAAAAAATGAATATTATAGTGGATTTATCGGAGCTTGCCCAAAGGTTAAGTAGCAAAAAGAGGAGAAATGTCATTTCCCTCCTGACCTTTTGTTTAACCCCCCCCCCTCCCCCATTGAACAGTGTGGATTGGACTATTATTTAAATTACGTACATAATCTGTTGGAAAAGACGAAAGGCATTGCATGTTTTGGTATCAGCAACCTTAATTTAGTTGAGTTTATGATTTGTATTTGCATGCATTACTGAGTAATATCCGAAAAAAAAGAGTTAATGTATGTACAGTGTATGTACAATGTATACTATTCACAGCTTTCGATACAAAAATATAGCGTAAGATCTGGTAACTTACGGTAATTTCAGGACTTTGGCAAAAATCTTCTCATTTTGTATCCTCACAGATATTGTTGATGACATCATCTACACGAAGAATGTTTATGAAAAATTATGTATGTAATAGGATATGATCTTTCTAAAAGAGGACTAAAAGCCATAATATTCAAAAGTTTGTTTTCTCGGCTTTATACATGTACATGTAATCATTCTCTTCACTTATGTAACAAGCATTCTGAAAGTATTGCATAAGCAATACATGTCCCCCACCGGGATCCCCTTTTCTCTTTAGGATGTCATTTTATTAGACCCTGTGTATGAAAAATCGCCACCAAAATATTGACATTTCGGTTATTAATTGTTTATGAATGAAATATCTTGGAATTAAGTCGATCTCCCTTACAAAGAAAGACGACGACGTCTTTGAATGTCATTTGACACACATCCATGCTTTGATCAGAACAGCTCATTTTACGTAGTTTAAAAAACGATTTTGTACCAAAAAATCAAACTTGATTTATATTTGTCACTATAAAGCTATCCAGCAAGTTTCAAATCAGGACAATCACAATCTCTTTTAAAAAATTAAGTGCATCATGACATTAATTTAGTGCATCACGAACCCTATTGTGAACCCAATTATAAAAATTTTAGAAACTATAATTCCTTCAAAAAATCAAAGAAGCAGAACGAAATGCAAACTTGATATATATAACTATAATCAAGGTAAAGTTTCATACTAAAAATGAGCTCAATATACGCGAGTGTTTAGAAGTAAAGTGCGGAAAACCCTGAAAAATTGAAAAGTTCGTAATTCCGTCAAAAATCATTGAAGGGGAACGGCATTCAAACTTGATCTGTAACTCATCAAGATACACTCATATACCAAAAATCAGCTCAATATCTGCAATCGTTTAGAAAAAAGGTGCGGAAAACCAAGTAGGACAGACTGACATGGGACAAACAGACGGACGGACAGACGCAGAGGAAACCTATAGTCCTCTTCGGTCTTACCGGTAGGGGACTCAAAATCTTGTTTAACAATTTTAACTGTTCAATAGAATTTCTATCTTTTTTTTTCAAGAAAGAATATGCATACAAGACACCTTATTATAGGGATGCTACGGAAATGTCCATTGAATTGACGATTTTATAACAGAATTAAACTCTTTAATACCAATGTTAGCTTCCTTCTTATCACAGTGCTAATGTTCATCTTCAATTGTTACGGTGATTTGTCTCTAATTTTGTTCATTTATACAATCAATAGAGTTTTTGAAAATTCCTTTTATGTACATGTTCAAACATTTTACTTACATGTAGTACCATTTGTAATTGTGTTTTTCAAAAGAAAATTATAGCACTTGGTAGGATTTCTTAGCAGTACCATAGAATCTGCTATGGTAGATTCCTACTGCGAGATTCCTACTCCCCCAGCAGAATACTAATAACTAATAGACTTGAGTTATACTTAAAATGTGGATCCCTTTACTTGTTGTATAGTACTCAAGTGATCGTTAACGGTCCTTGGCCTCTTGTTCACATATGTTTGTTTATATTCTAGTGAACATACTTACCGCCGATAATGTTAAGAAGTAGATGTATTTCCCGCCTTGTTGTTGAGCAAAGAAGAGAATATCACCAGAGGCGTCTACCATAGTTGACCCATTCCTGACGGTCATGTTTGGCATCGCTGTAGATTTCATGTATAACATCACTGTTGTGTTGGGAAATTTCTTTCCGATCTGAGAACAGTCATTTCATATTCATTAAATTAAATTTTATGATGAAAAACAACCTCTTATTTTGTCACTGGATCTGCTATCGCAAGACGACATTATTTTTATAAAACAATTATTAGAACATTTCAAGGACATCTATTTTTAAATGAATTAAATATCTTATTCCCTATACATTACGAACCTCAATTGCTATTTTTGATAAACAAAGTTTTATATTTACTTCTGGAATGAAATTCCCGATGCATGTCACCTTCTGACAAGTTGTGTTCAAAACTCCTCCAGGGAGCTAAAAGTATAATAATGTAGGAACGTTAGAATATAAATAAAATATATTCTTGGAAATATCGTTATGGAAATAACTCTTTCTGGTTTGAAAATACCTACGTCCTTGTTAGTGACGTTGTATCGGAGTTGATTATATTTGTATGCATTATAAGACATGGAGTTGAACAGGAAATCAGACACCCATAGGTACATCATCCGAGATGTATTGGAAAATTTCAGCAACGGAGGGACTGGAAAAGGTGCCTCGATCGGATTTGATTTCCAAAACACTTCACCCTAAAGTTTGTATGAATAATACTTAGAGGGATTAAAAAAGATAATGTGCAGTAAACATCATTAATACACAAACGCACATATTGCATTCAATTAACTCTTGCTTTCTCGTAAATTTTGCTGCAAATAAGTGACTCAGCATGAAAAACCTTCTTAGAAAATAAAATTGTTGTGAAATTTAAAAGTAAAATAAATTCATCATAGGTGATACTTATCATTTAAAGGTTAAATAATAATCGTGAATAATTTGCAAAAGAAAAGAGTTTTCCAATCACAGAGAGGAAAGTTTGAAATGAAATTTTCTACCAAGTAAACTCCAAAGGCTTTCACTGGGGGAGGATTGGGACAAGCTTTAACTTAATACAAGAATACAGGTACCGAGAGGAATATAACAAATGTTATTCAAATCAAAAATCAGAATTCGATTATGATAAATTTTACCTTATGGTACGTCTCCATAAAATTGGATTGAAATGAAGGTTTTGACAGGAATCTGTAATCCAACAAGAACAGCTTTGCTATTTCTACTGTAACTGTAAATTAAATAAAATATGTACATTTCACTCACTCAATATCCTTGAATATTTTGTACATCAAATTGAAATCTGATTTGTGCATATACCTGGCAGATTTTTAAGACTTTCCGTTCCATTGACATTCACAAGATTGTTCAGCTGTTGGCATAACTACAAAACACGAAATGAAACACCTAGCCTATTAGTAAAGTTTACTTTATTATACCCCACGCAACTAGTTGCGGGAGGTATAATGTTTTTGACTGGTCCGTCAGTCAGTCAGTCAGTCAGTCAGTCCGTCAGTCAGTCCTCTTTTTTTGTCAGCGCAACTCCTCATAAACCGCTGCACAGAATTTCGTCAAACTTTGCAGGTATTTAGGACACAATGTGTAGATGTGCATATTACCAGAAAATTCCGATTCCTTTATTTTTTCCAGGAATTTCCGCACTTTTTAACTTAGGCATTTGCCCATACCTTGAATATAGAGATGAACAGTTTGTCAGCGCAACTCCTCATAAACCGCTGCACAGAATTTCGTCAAATTTTGCAGGTATTTAGGACACAATGTGTAGATGTGCATATTACCAGAAAATTCCGATTCCTTATTTTTTCCAGGAATTTCCGCACTTTTAACTTAGGCATTTGGCCATACCTTGAATATAGAGATGAACAGTTTGTCAGCGCAACTCCTCATAAACCGCTGCACAGAATTTCGTCAAACTTTGCAGGTATTTAGGACACAATGTGTAGATGTGCATATTACCAGGAAATTTCGATTCCTTATTTTTTCCAGGAATTTCCGCACTTTTAACTTAGGCATTTGGCCATACCTTGAATATAGAGATGAACAGTTTGTTAGCGCAACTCCTCATAAACCGCTGCACAGAATTTCGTCAAACTTTGCAGATATTTAGTACACAATATGTAGATGTGCATATTACCAGGAAATTCCGATTCCTTTATTTTTTCGGGAATTTCCGCACTTTTAACTTAGCCATTTGGCCATACCTTGAATATAGAGATGAACAGTTTGTCAGCACAACTCCTCATAAACCGCTGCACAGAATTTCGTTATACCTTGCAGGTATTTAGAACACAATGTGTAGATATGCATATTACCAGGAAATTCCGATTCCATTATTTTTTCCTGGAATTTCCACACTTTTAACTTAGGCATTTGGCCATACCTTGAATATAGAGATGAACAGTTTGTCAGCGCAACTCCTCATAAACCGCTGCACAGAATTTCGTCAAACTTTGCAGGTATTTAGGACACAATGTGTAGATGTGCATATTACCAGGAAATTCCGATTCTTTATTTTTTCCAGGAATTTCCGCACTTTTAACTTAGGCATTTGCCCATACCTTGAATATAGAGATGAACAGTTTGTCAGCACAACTCCTCATAAACCGCTGCACAGAATTTCGTCAAACTTTGCAGGTATTTAGGACACAATGTGTAGATGTGCATATTACCAGGAAATTCTGGTTCCATTATTTTTTCCGGGAATTTCCACACTTTTAACTTAGGCATTTGGCCATACCTTGAATAGAGAGATGAACAGTTTGTCAGCGCAACTCCTCATAAACCGCTGCACAGAATTTCGTTAAACTTTGCAGATATTTAGGACACAATATGTAGATGTGCATATTACCAGGAAATTCCGATTCCTTTATTTTTCCGGGAATTTCCACACTTTTCAACTTAGACTTTTTTGCCATATTTTGAATATAGAGATGAACAGTTTGTTAGCACCACTCCTCTTAAACTGTTGTACATAGTTTCGTCAACCTATGCTGATATTTAGGACATATTCCATTATTTTATCCCAAAGAGTTTTGCCTATTATTCAAGAACATTTCTCACCCACCCACCCCCCCCCCCCACTTCAAATTAATGTGTGGATTTGTATATTGTCAAGAAATTTTGATTCCATAATTTATCTAGAAACTTCATTCCACATTTAAATGTCCTCATATGTAAGACATTTTGATGTGAAGATTTTTTGCAATTATTGCCCTTTTTGATCTACACTATGTATTTAAAGTGCACTGTGCCTTTCATTAAATGTGTTTCACCGTCAAGTTATGGGGGAGCGTGGGGTATGTGAGCTAGCTCACTTTTTCTTTCATTTTTCCATATATCTGTTTGTGCTAGACATGATGTTGAAATTTCCATTTCAAAAACATAATATCTTTATCTTCGTTGACTTACAATTCCATTGCTTCCTCCGACTATATCTTTCAGTTTATCTGCGACTAAACCAGAAAACAAATTGTATATCCATGCAGTGCCGCCATGAAAGCTTATGTCCGCCGAGCCAATATTGCAGTTACAGCCAACAGCTTTCATTGTAGGACGCCCAGTAGTATCCGAACCTAAAATTGGATTATTATTGATAATCAACTCATAATTTATATAAATTTAACTCATCATCATTAATAAATCAAATGCATTGACAAAAATGAAATTTACGTGTTCATCTATTTTTTCAACTAAATTTATAAAGAGGAAAACAAAACCAACGAAAACGAACTTAATTATGATCTCATAAAATACTAGTTTATGATTTCAACGAAAGACCGTAGTTCTGTTTAGAGTATTTTTTTTTGTTCTTTGATTTTTTTTTTTTAGATTTTTCTCTTTAAGTTGCGAACTTGATTTTCCTTATATTGTATGTGCTAATCGTTAGATATATCTGTTGGCAATTTGAATAAAAACGATTCTTTTTTTTTTTTGTACATGTAGGAATTGCTTGACAAAAACACATATTTATGGTGAAATGTGAATTAAGGATGTCTCTTACCCAATTCAATATTAATTGCAGCATTTATGCTACTTGCTCTAAGATCAAAACTTCCAGAATCCGATATGGGAATTCTGTAAGAGAAGAAAAGATCACATATTAGTTGAAAACGTTCATTAATGATATATGAATTTTGAAAAGTTATCTCCCATTTATAAGATACGTTTGTAATTAAAACGTAAAACGTTTGTAATTAAAACGTAAATAATTTGGCCAGAATTGTAATTTTAGCATGTCTTACATTCCGTGGAGTTTATAATGAAAATTTCCGTGGACGTTTAGTGAACTCCCACTTGTGCTCCAAGACACTCCAACATTCTGAATCAAAGAGGCTTTACTGCTCGGCTTGCTAAATGCATTTATCTGTAACCTGAATTCCGGTAATAATATATACTCATTTTCATATTTAAATAGAATACATTAATATTACGGGTATGCAAATGTAAATATATGTTCTAAAAACAAACGGGTGAAAATTCCGTTTTCATTTATAAATAATGTAAATTTTAAGACATTTATTACGTACCCTGTAATGTCATAGGAGATGTCCCCTGTACTCCCATGTTGATCCGGAATTTTCTGACCCGTCACCTGTTTTGAAAGTATGTCCAACGCAACATCCGTGGCTATGTTTCAATACAATAATAAACAAAAATTGATAAATGACCATGATGATAAATAAAATTTCACGTCATGTATGATAACAATTTGTTCCAGACATGAAATGTATACAATACATGCTTCTAACAACATGTATATGTAACGTATTTCAAACTCGGCCTATGGCACTTATTAATTCTTATTCCAATGCGTTTGATAAGGGAAAACCGTTTAACTGGATGTTCAAAAAACTTTAAGATATTTTCTGGACTTATTAGGTATTTCTTTCGGACTACAGTTTGGTCTTGACGGCACGGCTGTACGTTTCCAACTGACTAACAAACAACAAGTATGGAATGGTACTCAAAGAAATGAAAGAGTTTGTAGCTTATGCAGTAGTAACCAGATAGGAGATGAGTATCATTATATATTAGAATGCAGTGCTTTAAACCAACTAAGAAAAGTTTATTTGAACTAAAATTTTTGTTCTAACCCAAATATCATCAAGTTTTGTGAAATCATGTGCCAAAATGATGTTGATTCTTTGAAACAATTATGTACATTTATTTCTAAAATTAATAGTATTGTCTGTTCTCCTTAATTATCACCTTCTGCTTGACCCACTGTATTATATGTATATATGTTTTATATGATTTTGTACCTCATGTACCATTTACATGGTTTAGAGAGAATAAATTGAATTGAATTGGGTAAATCAAATTAAACACAAAGAATTTAAGAAATTAGTCATATAAAGAGATAAGATAAAAGGATGACATTCTATAGACTGATGGACAATTAAATTAACGTGTCAGATAAACAACATGGTCATAAATATCACCGTAAATCCTTGTCGTGGTCAAGGTGTGAACATTACCTAATGGGATTAACTCTGTTGAACGCCAGTTGATAATTTGATTCATTCAAAATGGTTTTTGAGGAATGTGACAGATATTTTGCTTAACAAATAAAGGATCAGAAAGCTTAAAAACACACACAGAAAGCAGCAGGAATGACCAAATAACAAAACAATAATTATAATGAATATGAACGTTTAAATCTTGTAAGTTTTCATCACGACACAGATAAGTATACTGAAACAAATTAATATTATCCATGTATTACAATAGCATAATTGTTTATAGCGTTAATGTATATATATTTTCATCATCTGATGGCCTTCCATCTTAAGTTATTTAAGCCTGTATGAAATATAAAATGTAGGAAGAAATACTATCATATATCTCAATTGTGGTGTTTAATTTGTTAAAGGTACCGCTGGGTAAAACTAAAATATGTAAGCAATTTGACTAAGCATGAATTGAGGAAGAAACCCATGCTAATAGATATAATTATATGATTTTGTATTATATTGTTAGATATTTGAGAAGTGTAACATACATTTAATCAACAGTTTTTAAGCTTTGAATCAGGTATTCATAAAATCGGTGAAAATTTTCACTCTAGTATAATTTAGAATTACATGTACATTGTACAACACCGTTTAGTAATCCTTTTCTGTGGATAAGAGTGTTTTTTTTCATATACATCAGACTAACTTATAGTCTAGTAAACATACTTTATCGACTTGACCACTCACACGTATACAAAAGATTTCAACATACCATAATTAAGCGCTTTGTCTGTTATTCTGGTTTGAAGTCCTGGTGTTTTACATTCTATACACACCACAGCAAGCTGTAGGACAATCAGCCAGTACAAAGATCCCACATTCATAGTCTTCTTAACGATGCACGTTACTTTATTAGATATAAGTAAATCGCCTTGTTGATTTGGGCCAGTGTTTACAAACGTGTGTATTAGGCTGTGACCATTTAAACACCCAATGGCGTGACCTTTGACATGTTTGAGTCAGCAGTTTCTCACATTGCTCGTATACGGGGAATAGTCTAGCTGATCGATCTTGCTAAATAAAAATCTCCGATCCCCAGGTTCTGAACTCGTTGAAAATACACACAAAATGTCTCTGAATTCAAACTTCATCTTTAAATTTACTCATATTATGTAGGGAAAATTTTAAATCTCGAATAAATTGCGAATATAAACATCTTAGACTATATGCATTTTTCAATTCAAGTTTAATCAACGAACACATTTTAAAAATGAAAATCATACTAAGTATTCATGCCTTCGAAAAAATTGCATAATTTTCCTAATTTTTATACATCTAAGGTACCTTAGTTTCTCTTGTTTAATTACGTCGATCATTTGACAAGGCACATTAAATACAGATTTTCTTATCAAAACACCTTAACTCATTTCTTATTGCATATTATGTTCATTAATAAAAGCATCTTTACATTTTCTATCATCAATTATGAAAAAATTACAGTATCAGATCAGTTCAGAGTAGATTTGCTAAATGCGCGCTGTTCTTTGCTTGTTGGGACCCGGTCTAATACATGTATACATGCCGATTGTAAAATGCTAAGGATTAAAGAAAGAATGATTTCATAAAAAACAAGTCATTTATTATTAAATTTATTTTAGTCTCACAAACCATGATTGTATCCTTTATATATATGTAATTTGCTGGTTTACTTTTGAAAATTTGGAGACATTAAAAAAAACTGAAAAAATTGATTCTCAAGTTATGTTTGGCATCCGCAAATTAAGTTCAACAAATATATCATTATGTAAGACAGAACCACTAGTAGTATATACATACTAGGAATATAAAGACAAGGTTTATATAATAATATTCGAAAGTTGCTTATTGCCTTACAATTATGTAAAACAAGAGGTCCATGAGCTTTATCATTCACCTGAGCACTGTGGCAAAGGGAGTGGACTTTGTTTTGAAGAAACTTGAATCTAAACTAACCAAGGATGCCTGCATTTTTCTTTGACTAATTATGGCTTTTTCTTTCTTACCCTTTATGTCTGTGCCCCCCTACTTATCACCCCGCCAAACTGATTTGAAACAATTACCTGAGGATGCTTCCAGATAAATAGAATATGATAAATCATGGCTTTGCTGTGCTCGTGAAGTTTTTAAAATTTTTTCCCTGTACATTACAATGTAAAAATATGTTCTTCCATTGTGGCCCCACCAACCGCCCAGGGGTCATGATTTGAAGAAAATTAAATCTAGAGTACCTAAGAATGTCTCCATATAAATATGAACAATCATGGCTTTGCTGTTCTTGAGAAGAAGATTTTTAAAAGAGTTTTTCTATATATTTCTATGTAAAACTTTGATCGTCCCTCATGGCCCCATCGTACCCCCAGGGGTTATGAATTGAACAAACTTGAATCTACACCACCTGAGGATGCTTCCATATAAATATGACTTATCATGACTTTGCTGTTCTTTAGAAGAAGATTTTTAAAGAGATTTCCCAATGGATGTATTTCTATGTTAAACTTTGATTGTTCCTTGTGGTCCCGCCCAGCTCCCGCGAATCAACTTGAATATTCACTACCTGAGGATGCTTCTATATAAATATGACCAATCATGGCTTTGCTATTCTTTAGAAGAAAATTTTCCTTTATTTTCTATGTAAAACTTTGATTGCCTCTTTTGGCTCCACCCTACCCGAAGGGGTCATGCTTTGAACAATCTTGAATCTACACTACCTCATGATGCTTCCCCATAAGTTTCATCTTTCCTGGTACAGTGGTTTTTGAAAAGAAGATATTCAAAACATGCCACCAAATTTCTCCTTGAATTGGCGCATGGCCCTTCATTTAAACACATTTGAATCCACTTCACCAAAGGTTGCTGTGTGGTGAATGTGGTTAAAATTGACCTAGTGGTTCTAAAGAAGAAGTAAAAAATGTAAAAAGTTTACTGACGGACAAACAGACAGTCTAAAGACAAAATGTGATCAGAAAAGCTCACTTGAGCTTTCAGCTCAGATGTAAATAAACAAATATACAATTAACTTTATTAACATGCATACTTGTTTTACGGGAACGTTTAGTTCGTCAATACTAATTCTGGTTCAACCGTGAGCTTTCCTCTTATTGTTGAACCCAGCTTCTCTTAAAACCTCAAGACAAAAACACGAGTTACAAATATTGTACTTTTATATAGAATCAGCATGGAATAAACTTCTTATGAGTTTGGGAACTATCAGCACCGAAGGTCTGATTCCAACTGACTATCATTTTCAACAACAAATCAAACATACTGAACAAAGAGCGAGTAAAATAAAAGGATTAACAAAAGGTATATAGAAATCAAGTATCAAACAATTATTGAGCGAATGGTGAAATTTTAGCAGTATGTATATAATAGAATTAAAGATGAAAGAATAAGTGTCAATGTCAATTAAGGAATTAGCTGTCCAATCTCTGACTATGCCTCAGGTGGGATTAAGGCTGTGCGGAATTTATATAATTTATCACATTTGCCGAAATATATGAAAAGTTTTGACAACAATTTATACAAGGTCCGAAAAGTTAATTTACACAGTAATTTAAAATAAGTTCAAAAAATGTTGTATTTTACATCGTAACACTTGCTCCGCCTTCGCGTAAAACACGTCCTCGTGTTTTGATTTTTTTCTCTCTCAATAAAACCGGCCTCTTCTTGGTCTTCCGGATCCTTGACATCTCCGGGATTGACAACGGCTTTGATTTTCTAAAAGGACCGATTCTATGTGATCTCTGTCATCCTGCAATGTTTCGATGGTCTGCAGCAGGGCCTTGTTTTGGTTCCTTAACTCTTTGCTCGTTTTCTCACCTTCAGTCAGAATTTTCATTACATACTGGTTATGTTCTTTTCCGATCTCGTTTAATTTCCTCTGCATTAAGTTCATAATCACTTTATCACCATGGGCGTCTTCTTTCAGTTTTCGAAATTTCTCACGAAGTATGTTATCATTAGAATTCCTTGATTGTTCTTGCATCTCCTTTTTCATAGCCATATTTTGATTTTCAAGTTTTTCGATTTCACATTGCGCTTTTGATAATTTGATCGCCATATTTTTCTTCTCTTTATTTGACATGCATAGTTGGATTTTAACATTTTTCAGCTCAGTTCGTAAAGTAGACGATGTGTCGCAATATAATCGAAACTGGCTGTCTCTAACGGAATTAAATGGTAATTCTCGCAGAATTCGTTTGTTTTCGAGATACTTGCTCAGTCGTTTCATGTCTCGCGCTTTCCTTTTGCGTGGAATTACTGGTTCTTTGTGTTCGGGTTTTGGCGCTGCTTTCTTCATCTGTGTAAAACACATCCTCGAATAATGTCCAATTCTGTGACATTGGTAACACTTCTGGCTTAACGCAAAACATAAAACGTTAGGATGCACGTTTCCGCACCTTCCGCACACTGGATGCTGGCATGAAGGAAAGTTGAACTTTCTCTGTCTCCACTGCGGTCGGAAAGAATAATCCATTGCTGGTCCTAAAACGTCAGCTTCATCTGTCAAAATCTGGGGAAAACTAGCTGTGTAGCTCTTGTAGAGGTCCAGGATCTGACTACTACAAAGTATATGTAGCAGTCCCGGGTGTCGTTACCCTTAGGATTCTCGCACCAAGTTTTACGGGAACGTTTAGTTCGTCAATACTAATTCTGGTTCAACCGTGAGCTTTCCTCTTATTGTTGAACCCAGCTTCTCTTAAAACCTCAAGACAAAAACACGAGTTACAAATATTGTACTTTTATATAGAATCAGCATGGAATAAACTTCTTATGAGTTTGGGAACTATCAGCACCGAAGGTCTGATTCCAACTGACTATCATTTTCAACAACAAATCAAACATACTGAACAAAGAGCGAGTAAAATAAAAGGATTAACAAAAGGTATATAGAAATCAAGTATCAAACAATTATTGAGCGAATGGTGAAATTTTAGCAGTATGTATATAATAGAATTAAAGATGAAAGAATAAGTGTCAATGTCAATTAAGGAATTAGCTGTCCAATCTCTGACTATGCCTCAGGTGGGATTAAGGCTGTGCGGAATTTATATAATTTATCACATTTGCCGAAATATATGAAAAGTTTTGACAACAATTTATACAAGGTCCGAAAAGTTAATTTACACAGTAATTTAAAATAAGTTCAAAAAATGTTGTATTTTACATCGTAACACTTGCACGCATTCCATTTGAGTTTCTATTTTAGAACAGGATCACCTACGATACAATTAGTGATATAAATTTTACGGGAAAGATTTCGTCCTCTATTACTGATTCTGGTTCAACCGTGAGCTTTCCTCTTATTGTTGAACCCCAGATTCTTTTAAACCTCAAGACACAAACACGAGTTACTAATTTGGTACTTTTATATAGAATCAGCAAGAAATATACTTTTACATGAGCTTGGGAACTATCAGCACCGAGTGTCTGATTCCAACTGACTATAATTTTTAACAACAAATCATACACACTGAACAAAATAAATGGATTAACAAAAGAATTTAGAAATCACGTATCAAACAATTATTGAGCAAATGGTGACATTTTAGTAGCATGTATATAATAGAATTAAAGATGAAAGATTAAGTGTCAATAAATATAAACAGAAGTCAATTAAGGGATTAATTGTCCAGTCTCTGACTTTGCCTCAGGTGGGATTAAGGCTGTGCGGAATTTATACAATTTAATCACATTTGTCGAAATATATGAAAAGTTTTTATAACAATTAACACAAAGTCCAAAAAGTTAATTTACAAGGTAATTTAAAATAAGTCCAAAAATGTTGTATTTTACATCGTAACATAAACACAAAATTAATATAAATTCAAAAGTCGGGTAAGATACTCGCTATACATGTACAACGCTGTAATAACCAAAAATAAGCAAACATAGAACTTAACAAATAAGCAACATACACATTATCCTTTCGGTGTTAAGTTATTTCTTTATTATTTTGATACAACTGTGTCAAATACATTTTTATAAGACATTTGTTAAGAATTTAGCGACCACTCAGTTTGTTGGACGACGATACAGTTAAGTCATGGTTGAAGAAAAGGACATATGATAAGGTAACGGCCGAATCTGGTCCCTTATCTGATGTAAAAATCAGAACACTGGTAAAATTGTGATAGTTTGTAGTGGAATTTAAAATGATGCTTACTTAATTAAAACAAGCACTTATTTAGATTCAAAGCTTACACGGAAGCTACTAGAGGTTGCAGAAGTAGAACATTTTCCAGATTTTCCTCAATTCTGGTGGAATTTCATCATATTTGAGATACTTTTCTCTTCCGAAAACATAGAGCACAAGCTTACCTATCTGAGATTTTTACACATAAAGTGCATCTGATATTAGTGTATAAAATACATAAATTTGGTAGATCGGCAAGCTTGTGCTCTATGTTTTCCGAAACAAAATGTGCTGTAAAATCGACGAAAGTTTGCATAAACATGAGAAAAATCGAAAATTGACCTATTTCCTGACCTCACTGTGACCTCTGTATATTCTAAATCTTAGAACCAATACTCATTTTGTGGCAGGGGTGACAACAGGTTTTTATGGATAAACTGTTGGATCACTTTGAAAGACACCCAGTCGGGGGCCAAATACTGGTCTTATCCTATCTTGTCATTTTAAAATTCAGAATCATAATCACTTTTAACATTGATGAAATAGATACTGGTATGTCAGACTTTTCAAGCTATATTTTTACACGTGTTAAAACCTGTTGCTTTTTTTAACCGTATTACATGTACTTTTATCTTTTTTTAATCTTTGCTACTACAGGTTCCGTACATTTAACATTAGAAACGCTTAAAATACATTTAAACCAATTTTCTAAATTCATTTTAAAATCAAACAGATGTGTGGCACGAACTTCAAATTAAAATACTCAATGTAATGATTAAGTCTTAAAATCGTGTATATTACCTACTAGTAATTACAATGTTAAGATTGAATAAAAAGAAAATTTAATCGAAATGTACTTATTCGTAATTTTTCTCTGATATTTCTATGTAAAACTTGGAATGTCTCTTGTGGCCCCATCCTTCCCCAAGGGGTCGTAATTTGAACAAACTTGAATCTACGCCACCTCAGGATGCTTCCCCTTAAGTTCCATCTTTCCTGGCACATTGGTTATTGAGACGAATATTTTACAAACATGCCACCAAATTTTCAATAATTCTCAATTGTCTCCCCCTGAATTGGGGCGTGGCCCTTCATTTGAACAAACTTGAATCCGCTTCACCTAAGGATGCTTTGTGGCAAATTTGGTTACGATTGGCCTAGTGGTTCTGGAGAAGAAGTCGAAAATGTAAAAAAAAAGTTTACAGACGGTCTAAAGACAAAATGTGACCAGAAAAGCTCACTTGAGTTTCAGCTCAGGTGAGCGAAAAAGTGTAAATCAACATAAATCATACAATTAAAACTTAATTAACATGCAAACTTGCACGCAATCTATTCGAGTTTCTATTTTAGAATAGGATCACCTAAAAAACAATAAGTGATATAAACACAAAACTAATATAAATTCAAAAGTCGGGTAAGGTACATGCTACATGTACAACGCTGTCATAAACAAACATATATATAAAAAAATAAGAAAACACACACGTTATCCTTTCGGAGTTCGATTATTTCTTTATTGTTTTCACGTAACTATGTTAAATTTTATAAGATATTGGCTAAGAGTTTAGCGACCAATGACCACTCAGGTTTCTGGACAACGATACAGTTACATGTAAGTCATGGTTAAAGAAAAAAATTAAAATTCAGAATCATATTCACTTTTAAAATTGATGAAAGAATTGTTACTGCATGGTATGTCGGACTATATTTTGGCACGTGTTAAAACATGTTGCTTTTCTAACCAGTTACATGTACATTTATCTATTTTTTTTTTCAATATCTTTGCTACTACAGGTTCCGTACATGTAACATTAACAACGCTTAAAATACGTTTAAACCAATTTTCTAATTCATTTTAAAATCAAACAGATATGTGGCACGAACTACAAATTAAAATACTCAATGCAATAATTAAGTCATGAAATCGTGTATATAACCTAATTACAATGTTAATATTGAAAAAAAAAAAGAAATTTTAATCGAAATGTACGTATTCGTGATCAAACCGAAATACTTACACGTTCAAGTATTTACAAGTAGTTTTAAATGTATGCTTTTCATAAATTTTCACAAGTTTCACTTAAAATAGTGGGAATAATATTCTGTAGATGTAGATGTTCTGTAGAAATAGTGGGATAATATTCTGTAGATGTAAATATTCAAATAATGAAATGTTTTCTTTGGTTGTTAGTACGGGAATTAATGTCGCAGCTATTGCAGAAAAAATACATAATTGGTTATGTAATTTTTTTCTGCAATTGCTGCGACGTTAATTCCCTTACTAACTAACATCCCCTGTCCACGTCAGTCATGTACTCCTTGCCATCGATCGAGCAAACTTTCGTAGACAACTCATGTGTATAGAATAGTTTTAATTTACAATCTATGTTAAAACATCAGTCAGCATGCATTCGACTTCATGACAGATTGTGTCTGCTGAAAAGGATATTGTACAAATACCGTTGATAATATTTGCGAAATGTTTAAAGAACTCGATTATGTATCGGTTAAAGGTACTTAAAGTATTCAAACATAAGTATGGGATATTACCTTAATAGTTTATTTGTGTAATAAATTCCAATTTTATCACCCCTGCTCATGTCGGTGCGCGGCCTTATCCGCAAACCACATTACATGAAGCATCATTCAACCCATATACAATGTAATTAAATGTCTTGTCACAAGGGATATAACTTTTATAAAGAGATACGTCTTGTAATAATTTTTCCAATTCATTTTATTTGGTTCATCCACCATATTTCAGATCTGTAGCAATCAGAAGGGTGTCCTGAAATAAACCAATAAAATATAATATTTTAATGCAAATTGCACAGTTTGGGATAAATGTATCATGTCATATCCTAGACTGAACAATAATTTACAATAAATGAAACAGACCTATGATATGGCTCCACGTTCTTGTTTTCAAATTGAAATATCCTAATTTTCGTATTTAATGAGATCAAATTTCATTTTTTTTCTCTGTTACTTAATATTATCACGCAACAAATAAAAACATTATATTTTATTTTGTTCTTTCATTCAAAAAGCTATGCCTTGAACTAAATTTTATCTCCCAATATTAAAGTTATCGTTCTAGAAGTTGTTCTGCTAGGGAGGATGTTATACTAATGTTAAAATATCAAGGCATAAAAAATCAAAGAACAAATGATAAGGTACCTTTCCTAATGTGAGTTCTGTATTTACAAAATGCACCGAGTCAATGATTGGAAGAGGAAATCCTTTGCTTCCAAGTTCTGTAGAAAAAAATTATTTCAAATTGATGTATTCAATATTCAATTCATGGATCAACAATTGTAAAGTTTTTTTTAACACACATGTCCATCATTTTTTTTAAAGTTAATTGTTTAACTGCAGCGTTATTTTCTTTAAATGTACAATGAGGTTAACATCATATCTCTCAGAGAAATATTTTTTTTGTTAATTACTTAGATATAAGTCAAATAAATCAGTTCAAATGCCTTTATGTGCATTGTTATATTTTTGCATTTTAATCTGAAAATATTTCTTTTAAATATGTACTCGTATAACAGAAGAAAATTTCATTCTCTAAAAAGATAACAAACCATTTAGTTTGGGTTGCACAAACATTGAAACAGCAGATTTGACGATGAAATTTAATGCCTGTGTCTGAAAAAATAATTAAATGAATTTGTTCATTAAAACATACCTTCGTGTCATAAAAAACTGCCAGCAATTCATTTTAGAATGGTTAATTACGATTTTTACTTACAGACAAAGCACCAATTTTGGAGTCTTTCACTTTCACTTGTATCCTTAATTTTTCAAAAAATAAACAAAGTCGTTTTATCAAACAAGTATATTTTTTCTGTAAAAGATTCCCTGTCCTTATTATAATAATAATAATAATAATAATTCTTTATTTAAAGAAGGTAACTTAGTGCACTTTCTTCCCCGGGGCCTTCTATAGACAAAATATCAACATACATATATACATACACATGATACATATATATAAATATACATAATCAATAAATAATCATAAGCTATTTCTACATTGTTTTACAAATTTTTTGACTTGATGCTTGAAAGCATTGAGTGTTTGAATATGTACAGGTAAATTATTCCATAAGTATATTGAAAGGAGTTTTACATTTATCACAGAGGTCTAAATTAGATTCAGAAAGATTGTATCGATTATTACACTGGAAATCAAACATACTATTTAGATAAGTAGGGTGAGAGTTGAACAATGATTTATATAACAAAACATATTTATTAACAATAAGTTGCTCATACACTGTGAGCATAGAGGTTGTGAGGGCGCCTAACAAGCACGTTTTTGTTATATATGTGTTTGAATTACTACCCCAAACAGTTAAACAATAATCAATTGAAGGCATAATATATGCATTGTAAAACAGCTTGCGTGTTTGAATAGGAAGAAACTTTTTAATTCTACGGAGGGCAGAAATTTTACGTGACAGTGTTTTACAAACATGGTCAATGTGTACATTGTATTGTAAAGAATTATCTAAATAAACTCCAAGAATTTTTTCATTTGATACAATATCAAGTTTTCTGTTAGATACAAACAGATTAATTTCATGCTTTTGATCTCTTTTGATGCGTACCAACTAACATGCATTTAGTTTTTGTAGCATTTAGAACCATTTGATTTTGAGAACACCAATTTTCTATAAAAGCTATATCCGTTGATAATGTATCTACAATAGTTTGAGAATCTTTACTTGATGCATGTAAAGTGGCATCATCTGCAAATAGGTCTAATTTGGATTTTGTAATACATAAGGGAAGATCATTAATGTAAAATAAAAACAGAAGAGGACCTAGTATAGATCCCTGTGGAACTCCCGCTGTGACTTGCTGATAAGATGAATGTTTGTTGGACAGATGTACACTTTGAAGTCTTTCACTTAAATATGATCTGAACCATTGTAAAGTTATTGCATCAAAGTTATAACATTGTAGTTTTTTAAGTAGAATATCATGATTGACAAGGTCAAAGGCTTTACTGAAATCAAGGAAAACAGTACCAACAAGTTTACCTTGGTCCATTTCATTTAACCATTCATCTGTAATTTTTGTAAGGGCTGTTTGGCATGAATGTAGTTCTCTGAAGCCTGATTGAGAATCTACTATAAGATTAGTATATATTTTGCCACATGTTTTTCAATAACTTTTGATAATGTTGGTAAAATAGAAATAGGCCTATAATTATTTGGATCTAATCTGTTTCCTTTAAACTTGTAAATTGTGAAAAATGCCAGTTTTGATACTGGTATTTATAATATGAAGGTTTATGTATTATTTGTGTTTTCAATAAACGTGGGTCAACACCTTTTACTAATATCTAGTTTATTGAGTAAAGCTAGTACTTCATCATCATTTATAAGTGGGAGTGTACCCAATTTAGATCACACACATGCCTGAAAGAAGTTCTGCAGAAATATTTGAAAAATGAGAATTAAACATTTCTACTATTTCTTGTGTGTCCTCTGTGATATAATTATTTTTAGCAAGTGCAGCTGGAATATAATTAATAGATTTAGAGGCTAAATTGTTTAGTACATCCCACATTTGTTTTGGATTTTTCTTTTGTTCTATAGCTGTTTTGTAATAACTAATCTTGGCGTTTTCAATTAGTGATGTAACTTTATTGCTGTGTTGAGCATTTTGTTAACCATTATCTTGTGTCATGCTTAACTCTTTTTGTTTTTACTTTTGCATGTTTATCTAATACCGCATTAAAAAGTGAATAAAATTCATTAAGTGCTTCATTAGGGTCAGAGAATAATTCCAATGAATGGAAATTAACCTCTTACTGTCATACGGCTAACAAGCCGTGTTATATATGTGTAATTACTAGTAAAATCTTAATGTCTCCTGACTGGGTTTTTTTTTCCCCTGCAACAAAAACTTTTGTTTCAATATTGTTACTTCACAACGAGACAGAGTATTCTGGAATGGTAAGTACTGATTTAGATTGTTTATATTGTTAACTTATTGTATTCATTTAAACTTGTAAATTGTGAATCATTAGAGAATTATAGTGTTTTCGTAGGTCACTTTGAATGTTACTGGAGTGTAGATCACACACACGCTCACGTAGGATTTTTCCCACATTGCTTCATTTTGTTCTTAGCCGCCCGTGTGGTACAGTGGTTAGGACGTCTACCTCAGAGAATGCTTGTCCTTCAAAAACTGTTATGGAGACCGGTTCACTGGATGATAAAAACCGATGTCTCAATAGCTCTCAAATAAAAAGTGCTCAATAGCCGTAAGTGCCAAATAAACCTCTCCACCGGCAAGTGATCGCGTCACCGCATGAGTGAAAAATTATCAAGAGGGACGTTAAACAGAATCAATCAATCATGTTGTTCTTATCAAATGCATCTTTGCTTTTATTTTTCATTGAATTTTCTAAAAATTACTAAATTGTTCTTGATTTGGAAAATTATAAAGAAGATTTTATTATGATTTGCAGGAATCATGAATTTTCTCCATAAAATTTTACCGTTTTTCCTACATTGTTTCACAAAAAAATAAACACCTAAATTATTTAACGCAAAATTATAAATTTATTTCAAGATAAAAAGTGAGAAATGAACATTTCTAATTCAAAATTTTAATACATCAGTACATAAAACGAAACTAACTAAATAAATTCCTTGCATGGAAAAAAATTAACGCTTCATGTCTCTCCACATTGAGTGCACTATATTACTAGAGCTATCACCGCTACACATATACAGATGATTTTAAAAGGACAAAGTATTCACACAATTGTTTTTTGGAGAAAAGTTATTTTTCGTGGTCTCTGGGTCTTCTCTCCATTTTTTAAAAAAGTGTATTCGTTTCTTTGAATTAAAATACACACAAATAACGTTTTTAAAAATGTACAAAAATTGTAATTTTCAAATTATTTTTGAGCAAATCAAACTCAATTTCTGGAAAACATTTTCATTTCCTGTTGCACAGGAACCCCATAAATTAAAAAAAATGTTAAAATTTCATGTGACATGTTGATGAAATTTTCATTTTAACGAATGAAATGATTTTAAGAAATGAACATTTCTTCACATATGAAAACTATTTCCCGCTTCATGTCTGTCTTATATTACTAGACGTATCTCGGTATAAATGCATGTAAATGTTCTTGAAAGTTTGGCTTAGAAACAAAAATTGTAAAATTTACATCCTGTATTATTTCAACGAATGAAATGATTTAAAATTGTCGCATCGTGTAAAATTACATGTACATCATGTATTATTACAATTACAATTTGAATGAATATTGCATAACAAACCGAGAGTATACATACGGTAAATCCGAAACTTTTGCGTATATTTTTCCGTTCTGGATCGTCAAGGAAACTTTAGTTACCATTCTCTGAAATGATTTATTAATTGAAAGCACTGATAATGAGAGTTATTTCAAATTATTATTTTCAGTCTTTTCATCACTAGGTTAATTTCTATTTCCTGTGATATAATATCTATTTAAATATAATGTAAAGATTACCGCAGAAAGCGTCAAAAAGTAAATGTATTTCCCGCCTTGTTGTTGAGCAAAGAAGAGAATATCACCAGAGGCGTCTACCATGGTAGACCCATTCCTGACGGTCATGTTCGGCATCACTGTAGATTTCATGTATAACATCACTGTTGTGTTCGGAAATTTCTCTCCAATCTAAATAATTTTATTAATAATTTATTTTCTACATGAGCCAAAATATAAGTAGTTTAAACTCTAGACTAGTTGTACGCGGAGTTTTTAATTTCTGTGAAAGCTTTTTTACTTACAGCTTTGATGAATTTTCCAATGCAATTTGTTTTTGGACAAGTTGTATTTAACACACCAGACGGAAGCTGCAAAATTTTGACAACCATTGTTACAATACGTATACATATTGAACGAAAATACTAAAAAACGGTTTAAAACTTAGTACGCTTTACTGCAACTGATGTCTTCAATAATACCATTTTAAAAGACCACTAAAGGCAACTGTCCTTCCAATTGAAGATACTTAAACTACTTTGCCGATCCTATACAAATGTTATAATACATACACTTGTACAAGTAACTATAGTTGTAGTTTAAAAGTAGAAAAGTGTTTTCGCTACTTGCGTGTAGAACTTACATCTTTGTTGGTAACGTTATACTGAAGTTTATTATATTTGTATGCATTATACGCCATGGAATTGAAGAGGAAATCAGACATCCACAAGTACATCATTCTGGAGGTATCGTTGAAATTCAGCAAGGGAGGAACAGGGAATGGAGCTTCTCGAGGATCGGCCTTCCAGTACACCTCTCCCTATCGAGGTTTGAGATAAAAACAATATCACCACTTTTTTCAAAATTATTTGACCATGGCATTTTAAATATTCATTTAACGATTAAGAATGTAATCATTTTGCATATTCATTTTACGATTCAGAATATTACAAGAATCCTGTATAATTTACATAATCCCTACAAGATAAAAAATGATGTCAAATAAAAAAATTTTTTTTTTACAAAGTTTCAGAACATTTGAAAGAAATGTTTTAGTTAATTTCATTATGATAACAAAACGCTGCTGAGAGGTAATACATATACCTTGTGGTACGTTTCCATAAACCTAGCCGTAAAGGCTGGCTTTGCTAAAAGAGTGTAATCCAATAGGAATTGTTTTGCAATTTGCACTGTAACTGTAAAAAGGAAACAAAGGAGAAGCATTTTTATAATAGTTTATATCATTACTTTTCCTTTCAAAATAATCAAGTCAATTTGAAACTTTGTTCCTTTATATGATTCATGTAGTAAAGATAGTAATGTAAATAAATCTTGTTAAAATACATGTAAAAATACATCCGGGATCGGCCAGCAAATTAATTCAATGAAGGTAACGCGAAGTTGTCTGTTTATATATTTTAGAAGCAGGGGGTATGAGTACAAAGGATGATCAATATTTTATGCTCTGAATAATATCCGAAGTTTGATTAAACAGAGTTATTTAAGGAATCACTGTCTAGTTAGCATGGTATGCCAGGGCATTTATCCCATGTTTCCCACTATTGTTGATGTCCCAGGCATACTATGCTAACTAGACAGTGATTCCTTATATTTCCATTTCATTGTGAAATAGAATTGTAGATTTAGACTTTAAAAATGCAGACATAGATTTAAATTACACGAGGATTCCCATCCCAATTTCAATAGTCCTCGCCCACTGACGTCACACAACAGCAGCCGCACGAGATTTTCATGCATATTTAGCCTCCGTAGCGTCAGACTCAGAGACAGATGCGCACGAGATTTGCATGCATATTAGGCCTCCTTGGCTTCTGACCTATTGACCTGCCTAATTTACATTCCGGTAAAATTATCAAGAAATTAACTCCGCTAACTCTCAAAGGGTTATCACAGAGAGAAAAATTAGAAATGGAAATATTTACATGTAGTTGTCACGCTGCAATCGCTCAGTGTGATATGTCTTCATAATGTACAGTCCATAATTGTATAATATTAATGGACTTTTACGAGAAGCACTGACTTTTCTATTTACGCGGACATTTAAACATTCATCATCTACGGAGGTACAGAATTGATAATAGATAAGAAAACCTTTCTGGTGGTCATAGTAATGGTGTCAGGGGCACTTACATGTGAAGGGTGAGAGTTGGGGGTAGGATGATTGTCGTTTGCTTCCATGACACCTTATCTGTGCTTTGAAATAACTGGTTATATTTTTGTTGAATTAAACATTGAAATAAATATTAATATCGCAGAAGAGTTTATGTACACTGTCCTAGGGTAAAAGTAAGCTATCAACTGTAAGAACAGCGCTTCTCGTAAAAACCATTAGGAACACATTAACTTGTAGCAGAGTAAAAAAGGACGTTTGCACCGATTTTATAATTGTTTAACAACGATAAAATTAATTACAATTCAATTACCTGGTAACTTTTTCAAACTCTCCATTCCGTTAACGTCCACCAGTTTATTTACTTGATTGCATAACTGAAATAAATATGTGAGAACCTAGTAAGTTGTTAGAACTTGTGTTCAAATCATTTGTATAGTATTTTTACAATAAAATATGTTCAAACCAAACCAAATAAACATGTTTAATATCATTCGTCCTACTGGATGTTGAAGGTGTTAGTTTTAATTTAAAGGAGATGGGTGAACTTAGCGTGCAAAAAACCCACAAGCTTCAGATATATAAAAATCATATTCAAATTGTGATTTTAGTATTTAGAGTAAAGTTTTCATCATTGATTTTTGTAAAATCATGATAAACAAAAAGTTTTGAGGAAAATTTTCCTTTAAAATTTATTCTTTTATTTAAAAAAATAATGTGGTATCCATTGGGTTCGAACCCTGACAATAAAAATCCTGAGTTGCATTCTCTATTGAGACTAGCACGCCAACCACTAAGCTACACAAGTCCTGATGAAGTGTGGCATTTAAATCATGTTTGTGATATGACCATTGACTTAAGAGACTTCAAGTATTTCTCGAAAGACACGAAAGTTATGTCATAAACTTATATTTTTTAGGTATAGTGGTTCATTGCTCCATAATTTTGGAAACCAAAATATGTATGTTTTATGCAAACTTTGAGGATTACCTTTCAAGAAAATGAAGAGAAGACCCACTCATAACGAAAAATAGTGTGAAAAAATGACTCGTTTTGTCCTCTTTCGTGTGTGTATAATATTTCATAGGCAAATAACTTCAATTTTCATGAGATTTGTGCAAGTTGTAGAGATTTTACATAAAGTATACTTTAATGTTAGATGAAATATTAAGGAAAATTTTGATAAAATTGAGATTTAATTTTTCACCTTCATGTTTGTTGCACTATGAGCTTATCTCTCGTCGTGTTCACCCATCTCCTTACAAATAATTTAATGCTAAATTTGGGGAAAAAAAGAACATTTTTCTTACAATTCCACTGCTTCCCGCAATCATATCTTTGAGTTTGCCTTCCAGCATTCCAGAAAACAGGTTATAAATCCATGCAGCACCGCCATGAAACTTTATGTTAGCTGAACCCACGTTGCAGTTACAGTCAACTGATTTCATTGTTGGGCGACCCGTTTTGTCAACGCCTAAATGACAATATCGTATAAATTTTAATAACCCTATACGTGATTTTTTAAATTTAAATTTGAGGCTTTATTACCTAGCTTTTAATTTTGAATACCGGGTATTGTACGTGAAGTGTGAATCAAAAAGTATTAATGTTTTTCCGATTTACCTATTTCTATATTTAGCTGAAAGGCAATATTACTGGCGCTCAGGTCAAAGCTTCCGGAGTCAGATATTTTAATTCTAAACAGAAAAAAATGTGTTTCTTATTCATAAACTTGAACTCAGTACAATACTATGGCAGAGCAGTTAATTAACTTTGACAAAAAAAACACATTCTGTGCCACACTTTATATACGATTAAAAAAGAAAGTTCACAATTAACATATATTTATTAATAGATGCCAATTTAAAAAGAAATTAAGTGTGTAAATTGTTCATAAAAAACTGCTGATTGCATTTTAGTTTTCTTACATTCCTTTCTTATATTTGTAATGAAAATTTCCATGAAGATCCAATCGAGTTCCACTTGTACTCCAAGACAAGCCAACATTCTGAATCATTGAAACTTTGCTGCTTGGTTTGATAAATTGGTTTACTTTTATTCTAAAAGAAAGCAATAATTTTACTTAGCATTGTACAAGAAGGGATATAGATAATTACTTTTTCATTTTTAACTATACAACTATTTACAATTTAACTCATTGTACCTTTCAATATTCGAGCCCTAAAGGTTTCAGTTCTGAATATCAAATGTATTCCTATAATTTTACCCTGTAATGTCAAACTTGACGCCGCCGGAGCTGCCGTGTTGATCTGGTATTGGTTGACCTGTCACTTGTTTCGTCAAGATATCCAAGGCAACATTTGTAGCTGTCAACAAAAAAGAGAAGGAAAAGAATGAAAAAGAATAGCATACGTGTATATATGTATAAAATAACATTTCTGGTGTTTTATTGGTTTAATGTGCTTGGACAATTGTAATGTCACCAAGTCGGGGTAGTCTGTACAGAATCCGTCTTGATGAACATTTTCTCCAGTGTTACTCCTTTCTAGTTTTGAGATCTGATTGAATTATGTTTGCATTCTTTAATATTGACGTTAACGTTGTTATACATACGTGCATGTTTATTGTTGTAATATTGTGATACTTGAAATAAAGAATTATGATGAGTATTATTATCTTTATTTAAATATTGATACATGTATCTATATACTTTTTTAAAGAAAGATAAACCTACAATAAAATAGATATATTTTTTAAATAATACTTTATGAAATGAATTTAATTGTCAAATAGCCATTTTATGTTTACAAATCTAATTGACAATGACACGTCACGTATTTATATGGACAGTGGTTATACATATACGGACAGTATCAACAACGCTTCAAATTATCACATTGGGTGAAAATTGAATATTTTCTCCGGAAACCCCCTCTTAAACACTAAAGCATGCACGATCCTGTTTTATATTAGTTGTCACGATTTTATATACTAAGTATTTCAACATCTAGTCAGAAATATGTAAGAAAGACATGTAGTCCTCAAGAAAAGAAAAAAACCCAAAAGATACGAAGTACTGGGCTGTATGATAAATTATCAATCCTTTACTTACATAGACCTAACATGTGTGTAGTTTTTGATTTGAAATTGCTAGACATGCCAGACTTATAGCTGTATGTAAGTACGATTCAAAGTATATAAAAAGGTGTCTTCAACAAAGCATCTGAATATATTTTTATTATAAATGGACGTTCAAAAAATGAATATCGAATACATGTTTTTTTGGCAATAAAATATTTCAAAAGAAGTTTACGTAGTATAAAATAGATTGGCTTTAACACAGTAAATAAATTAATAATATATTTTAAATAGATGATATAAAACATTCAAAACTGTATATAAATTGTAAATGTGTCTGTATTCTACACTGTATCTGGCAATAGAATATGGCCAATTAGAAATAGCTTGGCTTCACTTGGACAATTTCCTATGGTTGATTTTTTTAGTATTGCCTGTTGTTTTTGCTTTGATTTGTTCCCAATCCATATTACTTTTTGTTCCAATTCATATTCGTATTAAATTTATTAGAGTGTTCATTTTTTCGTTATCTTATCCTCTAAGCAATGTAATTCCCAAAACTGCACCTAGCTTTGAAAATCAATAAGCCCAGTTCCTCTTGTCTGATTTACCATGCAATGATATGCTTTGTTGCTTACGTTATGTTAAATGTCGTATTTTCTCTAATCATTTTACGAATTAAATCATCTTAGTAATACATGTATGTAAATGTAAGTTCAAACATATGTTATATCAGTTCAAACATATCTCATGAAACATTTGTAAGGAAGTTAAACAAACGCTACAAAAAGTATAAAACATTAGCCTGTTGGTATTACCAACATGATTATATATTTTGAAGTGAATAGCATAATCATGCATTATTTTAAACTTCCCGATCAGGTATTGTATTTAAAAGATGCACAGACACAGATTTGAAGCTAATTGTTTATAATTTTTTCTGTATAATATTACGACTTATATATTGCAATAGCATTTCACAAGAAAATATAATCCAAATCTTAGTTCAACTCGAAGTTATTGAAACTTCGAATTTCTGGTCGGGTTTCATTGACACGTCCTTGCACTTTATGTCGTGATATTAAACAGAAATTTTGAGAAAATATTTACTTCTGAAAATCTGTGTCTATGCACCTTTCAGTAAAAATAACTCATTTTTAATTAGTGTGATAAATCATGAAATATCCGAGGAGAACTGTATGAACTTCAAATGCTAAAACACACGTATTATACGTAATAATCAAATGCTAAAACGAACGTATTATAATTATCAAATACTAAAACCAACGTATTATGATAATCAAATGCTAAAACCAACGTATTGTAATAACGGACAAAACATAAAATTTAATGAAAAGTATAGGTACATGATTGATTGATTGTATATTGTTTAACGTCCCTCTCGAGAATTTTTCACTCATATGGAGACGTCACCGTATGCCGGTGAAGGGCTTCAAATTTTGACCTTTACTCGGCACTCAGGGCCATTGAGCAGTGAGGGATCTTTATCGTGCCAACGCCTGTCGCTGACACGGGGTCTCGGTTTTTAAGATTTCATCCGAAGGACCCGCAACTTTCACTTCAAAGTGCCGAGCGCATGGCGAAGGAACTGTACAGTTGCTACCCATTTTATCGACTAGGTCAGTCGCGGCCGAGATACGAACTCACGACCTCCCGATCACGGAGCGAGCGCTTAAAGGTACATGAATGCATCGGCAAAATTTAAAGAGATTAACAGGAGACACTTATGGCGCTCCATAATATATATTGTATGCGATCAAACAAATGAATACCGTAATCAAGTGCCTTGTCTGTGATTCTTGTCTTTAATCCGGGAAATTTACACTCTGTTGATGTCACAAACAAAGATAAAACTGTCAAGAAACACACTGGCTGCATCGCTGAAGATTTTTTGAAATAAATGTGTGTATGTACATGTATGTCCACTAAAAAGACCTTCCTTGAGACGGCTCAGTTCACAAATAAAGTTAAATGCCCCAGTTGCGAAATACGGACAAGGAAGTAAATGATTATTTTTCTTCATTGATAGTTGCGGTAAACAATGAATGGATACTGCACATCAATGAAACATGCACATGTATATTTTTATTTATTTTTTATTTACATGTACATGTATTTAGATTAAGAGTATTTACAGATAAATATCGGAATTTATGATATATGTCACTTTTGGCGTATACCGGTAATACGTTATCGATTATTCATTTTAGGAAGAGCAACAAAGATTTTGCATCAAAGATTTCATTCAAGTCAGAAAACATAAATAATATTATACATAAATAAGCTACATTTTATAAATCATAAAGTAATCAAAGTCCTGGGGCTCGTTTCTCAAAAAGGCCTACGACCAGGTGTAAGCTTAGTCCGGACTAAATCAGTGACTAAACCCGGAAGTCGGACTAAGATGCGTTTCACAAAAAGGCGTAGACTTAGTCGAGACTAAATTTTGGTTTAAATCTAGGCCTGCTCATGAGTAGGCGTAAGTTCTTAGTCTGTACACAACTTGGGAAAAGGGCAAGTGTTTTAATCATGAAGAGTAAAAAAAAATATTATTTTATACATATTCGATATAATACCTATTCATATTCATGCACATAATTATATGATATGCGAAAAATCATGAAAATTAATAAACAACATATAATATTATGAAGAAAGGTAGTAAAATCCATCGAGGATGCAGGTGGGATGAACTAAAAATTTGTAATTAAGAACTTTGAATTTTAGTTGGGTTGGAATTTAAGAAGTGACAGATTTTATTTTTTTAAAATGTAGGCACGCGTTGTGTGTTGGAAGGGTGTGTGTGCAACCCTCCCGTTTTTTTTATTGCAATATTGCGTTTTCTGTTTTAAAAAGGTGTATAATTTAGGGGCTGATGCCCACTTTCAGCATTTCTCTTCTCGGCTGAATATTTTGGTCACTCAATAACTCCCCCCCCCCATTCACTTTTTAAAAACGATGCCAGGTCCCGGATAATTTTTTTGTTTTGAAATGGATAATGTTTCAATAATTCCTCAAACAATACTCATTTTTAAAAATATATTTTAAATAATGAGAAATATTCGGTAACTATGCCGTGCGATTAACCGAGAGTCAATGCTTCTTTAATGCATGTGTTCAAATATAATATTAATAAAACATAAAATTTTGAATTTGTAAAATGTTCAAGTATTATAGTTAAAGTATTCTGTTCGTAAGACTGTTCACTCGTTGTCGAGAGGTGAGAAGTGTAGATGGCCATGGGTTAATTAATGGCTTGCAAAAGCTTGATAGTTTTAAATCGAATTCTTGTGAACCATATTATAGGCAATAAATCTAGTAATTTTTATAAATTTCTAAAATATTTCCATTAAAATTGAAAATGCGTGTTTTAATGCAAATGGTGTATATACATTTGTATTTCTACATGGCCTATGTAAATTATCATAACGAATGTCGATATCAATGTAAAACTGTATGTCCAAATTGTAATACATGTACCATAAATGCAGGTACATGTATCACCTTGATTGCCAATATATGTCTAATTCATATTGAATAAATTGATTGAAATTATAAAGAATTATATATGGTATGGGTCATTTTAGGCCCCCATTCAGAAAATGTTTCACGTGTCAATTTCTTTCTTGTTCAAGGCATCGCAAGTGTTTATAATCGTCGCTTACTGTGTCAAAATTGTCATTTTTTTTTAAAGTTTTGTTTAAAACTAAGGCACTTTTAAAAAACCTTTTTATAAAATTCTCTGCGTATTAGTTAAATCAATATATCAATAAAAAGATAAAAGAAATATATAAATTTTATTCAGTTTTACAAAACATAAATTTTATTTATGTCTATTGACGTCTAAATTTTAACAAAAACGGACCCAAAGAAATCCGTATATAAGACTTAAAGACAACTGATCATTTTAAAAAAATCTCTTATCCATGTTTTTAATAATTCTTTTTATGATAATTATGATTTCATAACTGATAATTTTTTGACAGTACGTTGGTCGGGGGTTCTGTCCCGTCACTCTCTGCGTAAAGTATTTTAAATACAGAAAAATTTCCTTCAGATACTGGTTGCCCCCCCCCCTTCTCCCGACTTTCAAAACTTTTGCTTCGAGCCTGTTCCAGCCCCTAGCCATATTTGGCTTTTGCTCATAGGAAAATTACTTTTTATTCCAAATTTTCGCAAGAATCATGTATGTACATCATTTTTGTTTTAATGTAGATATCTAATATAACACTTGTGGATGTAGTCTCAGAGGGAGGTTAAAAGATTAAAAAAATTACTCAATCAGTTTTGTTTAGTGTGGCTGTGGGCGCCTAGTACCCGACCCCAATCAGCTCCCTTTTTCAAGATTTCTGAACCCGCTACTATATATGTTATAGCTTTGACCTTGAAAATGCAGATGGGATCGCATAATACATCTGTTTGATAGACGGTGAAAAGGGAAAGCATGCAAGAGCGCTCGTGCTTCCTGTGCTTTAGTACAATGTAGGTCTAAGTTTGATATTTAGATTTGATCCGCCACATGGCATGGTAGTCTCTAAACCAAATAAAATCCGAACTGCGCATGCTTAGTCCTAGAGGAGAGGTCTTAGTCTTAGACCCAGTCTTACGCCGCTTTCTGAAACTCGATTTAGGCCCGACTAAAATTTGGCCTAACTTTCTTAGTCGGACTATCTTAGGCCCAAATCTACGACTTTTTGAGAAACGAGCCCCAGATGTCAATATTTAGGATTACCTCTTACGTACGACATCTGGACATTGCAAATTATTTAAATACTTCCTCATTGCAGCAAAATCAATAGCAAAACGTGCACTATGTAACATTTACCCGTAGCGAAATTATATTTAGTAAACAACCAAAACATATATCAATAAATAACTCAATTTCGCAAACAAATAAAAGCACCTCTCATTTGTGTCCGCCTAAATGAGTGTATTTCAGTGCAATTTACAAAACATTCAGGAAATAATCCTGAAGCAAATAAGGAAAATTCTGGTTCCATCGCTGCAAAAAGGTAAGAATACTCTCACAGAATCAGCATCTTTTATACATGTATATTTTGTTTAACAATTTTTCATGATTCTATAAACATAGTAGACAGGAACAATCTTTATTCTATGTGTCGTTTAGTTCAGTTTTTCATTTAAAGTAAGCTGTTATTCAGCTAAAATTCAATTATAACAAGCATTCTGAGAGCATTGCATACAGTAAGCAATACATGTCCCCTGCCGGAATCCCCTTTTTCTTCAGGATGTCATTTTATAATATGCAAGCCAAAAGTTATGACCAAGGTAAAACTGCTTGATTTTGAGGTTGTGAATGCCTTTAACCTAATAAAATAATCCACATAAAGACGAAAATTCAACTAATTTTTTTTCAACGTCTTTTTCTCGCTTCGTATTTACCATCGGAATTTAGCGCAGCACGAACCCGATTTTAAACCGTTATTAAAAAATTAAAAATGCCATACTTCTGTCAAAAATCAATGAAGCGAAACGAAATTCAAACTTGATCTGATCTGTAACTCATCAAGATACACTCACATACCAAGATTCAGCTCAATATCTGCAAGCGTTTAGAAAAAAAGTGCGGAAAACCAAGTAGGACAGACTGACAGACAGACGAGGACAGACGGACTGATAGACGGACGGACAGACACAAGGAAACCTATAGTCCCCTCCGGTTTCACCGGTAGGGGACTAACAAGCTAGTTCACAGAACTTATGTCCTTGCTTAAGAAAAAAAAAGAAGAAGAGCATGCACGGATCTAGAGATGGTCTAGGGAAGGGAACGGAACACTTTTAAAGAGAGTACAAAATTTCAGGCTTCTTTGAGATATCGTGCAAAACGAAAGTAACAGACAGACCCAAGATAATACCCCCTCCCACTTTTATTTAAAAAGCGGGGGACAATTAAATTAACATGCCAAGTTAATTTTCCAAGCAGATAAAAGTTTCTCACAAAAACCCGTCAAATTAAGAAAAGTTGAAATATATGTAGTCCATAAATGCCGTATCACATGCTTAAAAACAAGCAAATTCAGTGAATCTTTTTTTTTAAACAAAAGCTCAACTTCCTGAGATATTGCTTGGAAACGAAGGTGTTACAATTAAACAGACAGATATTCATACTGACGGTCAGGGTTTTACTATTTCGTTCTGATTGTACTGACTTATAAATGCAAAACATCATGTAAGACATGCTTACGGTTGCCGAGTAAATTCCTTTTAAAATACAGTTGGGCTTGAAAGGTCTATACCTCTGGCTAGTTGGCCAAGATCAATTGGTGAATTTTCAAAAAGGCATTATTATGCAAGATGCTGCTTGGAAGGCCCTGAAATGCATTTTCGCTTCATGTGAACATATACTTTTTATATGTGAGGATGTATGAGGTGCAACTCATAATTAGCACAAAACAAGCGTTCTCCGCGTACATTCTTGACCTATTTATATTTCGTAAAATTATAACCCCCTTTCATTAAATGTCAAGCATTAAAAGAACTGTCTTTTGTCCCCTTAAAGATCTTATATAAAGGAATATTGTTGTCCGATAATGCTCTAAAAAGACGTTCCGGGGACAGGATTGAAGGAGGATTCAGATCTAATTTATATAATGTTACTTTTTAAAGATTTTATTTTTTTTTCTCAGGTCCTTAGGATTTAGAGACTGTACTGTGCTGCAGATGATCTTTTCCTTGAAATCATGAATCTGCTGCTGTTGTTGTGTGTTTTAATATATGTATCAAAATCTCACGACTTGGAGGACTCTGAAAATTGTGATTACGGAGCTATCTTTCGGTTGACAGAGAAAGGCCTAACCTATGGTGATCAATATTTTGAAAATTACAATAATAAATATTTTTTAAATAGTGTATTATTTATATTTCATTATCAATTACAAACAATTGTTTTTAATGAGAAATATTTTTAGAAAATTATTTATATTTCATTATTAATTACAGAGAAAAACTGCATCTTAAATTACTGTTTGTATCTTTAAAGTTATCTTCCTTATTTACAATTTTTCAATTAAATAAGGTTTTATAAATGAATGCTTAAAATCATGCATTTTTTCAGAATGATTAATGTACATTTCATTTCTATGTTGAAAACAAAGCTGCAAACACGGGATTTCCTTCCATGTGGAAAGAAAAGAAATGGAACCTTTCTTTATCTATATATGATGTGAACGAAACAGTCAATGGTGTGAATTATTTCATTGAAAAGTAGGTTGTGCTAGAAAAAAGGTTTTGTGCAGCCTATGAAATTCAATTTCCTGTTAATTTTCTTTAGTAGGAAACACTCATATATGTTTGCACGAGTTATACTTTAGGCCTATCTATAACTTATTTACCCGACTTAATCGATACCTAAGAGCATTCGAGTATAAACCGAGGCAGATTATTGTCAGATAAGATGATGTTAAAGGTATTTTATTAACTTGTTTGAAGTCGGGATTTGGTAAATTCTATGGCAACTACAAGATTTTTTTTTCTCAATGTTTCAGATTGCATTTGAAGCAAAATATGGAGAATGATAACTTTAAGGTGTCAGTTGATATAGACTCTAACCCTGGGTGTTTGAAAGTCACAATTAATGACTCTTTAGCAGCACTACAGGGAAGTGTTTTATGTAGCGACATACATACCAGGTAATAAAGGAAACAAGAACTTTAGTGTGAAAGAGTCAACTTTGATTCTTCCGCAAATAATGATATTTATTGGAAAAAATTTCCGGAACAAACATTCTTTCTCTTTATTTGTGTACATATGTAGATAAATCTCTGAATATAGAATATTTCTTTTGATGGAGAACGTTGTGCAGATGATTAGGGATATAACGTAGAAAAAAAGCAAACTTTACAAAATTAAACACAACGTGATAACAAAATACATTTCCTAGTATAACCGATAGCATTTCAAGATTAATCAACTATTATTTTTTTTAACCTAGAAATGTTCTAATTTGGCACATTATATCTTTTATAAAGAATTCGTTTCGAAGTGCTTTAATAGTGCTTTGAACATGTTTAAAAAATCATTTCTTATGCATTGTATGTTTTGAAATTAGTATAAAATTTATTGTTTGAAAGTTTTATTTTTTAGACATGAAGCCCAGCATTGCAACATAACTATATATATTCCATGGTATTTCAAAGTTCACATTGGTAAGTACATGCATCCCCCATCTCTCCTGAGCCGGAGCGTACCCATCTTTTTTTTTTTTAGCTAAGGGTAGGTCGGGACCACTTGTGTATAAAACACGTTAACATTGGGACCACTCGCTCAAATGGAATATAACATCTCATTTGGGGTCAGGGATATTATGTCCCGAATTGGATATACCTACATGTATACAATGCAAAAAATGAAAATCGTTATCTTTGCATTAAATATAATAAATACACATCAAAGTACTGAAAAAGGAATAGCTTTTGGCAAGCAATTTTTGCAACCCTACAGTTTGTTAGATTTACCCCCAAAGAAGCTCATGAACTTCTGAGGGATTAATCTCCTAAACAACTGACATACAGAAAAACTTGTTAACCGAAAGATATTCAATTATAAATATCTTAAAGTCTATTAATGATATTTGTAGCCGAAATGAAACTTTTCATTTTTTGCACGGTAAATTTTTATCACATCTGTTATATTCAACTTGGGTGAATGGACTCAACCTAGCTGTGAAGCTATTTAATACTGGACTGATCTTTGCTGCTTTCCTAGCCACAGATCTGAGGTGAGCGATGTGGGTTATTGACCTTTTTTTGTTTTTACTAATGTTGTGGCTTCGTAGACAGGCATGATTTAAATCAAGGAGGTTGCAGTTGATCATCAAATGCACAGAAGATTCAGGAAAGAGTATGGACATTGAAATTTATAGAATCCAAAATGTATAAACACCTGTATTGATAGCGAGTGAGTTTAGACATCCGAATATTAGATAGAAGCAACAGAACCTTCAGAAAAAAAATTAACAAACGACATGGATAATAAATCAGTACAAAAATAAACACATTAATATATTTAAAAACAACAGGTCCAAGGGCCTAACAGGTCACTTGCGTATCATCCAACAACTTTCCAACAATTGATTTAATTCGTGTTTTAAACCAGGCCTGACACATAACAGGGGCCCTGAAATTCACAAATTTAGAAAACGAATCCTTCCTATATGTTATAACTATGTACATGGCTCAATGTTGTAGTACACAGGAGCAAAGGTTAAGATATTTTAAGAATAAATGCATTTTCACAATCTATTCAAATCCTTGCCTTTACACCAGTATCCCTGACCCAGGTAGAATGAAATTTACCATTTTGGAAAAGTCAACCTTTTTATATTGGTTTCATGACGATGATCAATCGATTGGCTTGCGTGATAATTTTATGTATAAGGGTCTTCATGCAAGTTACAACATGTATCAGGCAAGCCACTCGATTGACATTATGAAATCAAAAAGTTAGACACTTATTCCTCGTATATTAAATACCGGTAAATGTGTAAAAGTTAAACAGTTATTCCTTAAATAAATGTGTTATATATGACATAGTGAGATGTACTTGATTAAGCGGACTGTAACTTCGTTCAAAATCGCTAATACACCACTAAATGTAAATTTGTTTACAGTATTTGTGATAATTATTTATATAGGAAGAGATACGGACGGTAGCTTTAATGTACAAATGTGTAATGTTACTGGTGAGAGCTGTTCAATTCTACTAGCAAATATAACAATCAACTACACAGACTGTGTCAATCCAACAGAACGGTTATGTGAAAAAGGCACAGAAGAATTCAAACACAACTTCATTAAAAATAAACTTAATAAAACCTTGCAACTGGTGAGTACTAAACGCTACGCTTACGATTAATAAATTTTTTTACGTGCTGATAAAATACATTCAATGTTAGCTGCAGGTTTCATTTTTTCGATCCTTTAAACTTTTTATCGTTATTATTTTATATTTCCCCCAAAATTTTGTTTTATTTAGCTGGATGTTTGTAACAGGCTGGATAAAGTTATAGACGCAATAAGCAAGAAAATGAAAAAGACGGACCGTAAGTTCTATTTATTTTGTAAAAACAATACGTGATTATTCATATTGAAAGTCGGCTCCAAAAAGTAAAGATTCTTAGAATAATTTTGAATAATTTTTTTTTTTTGGTAATTTTAGTTGCTCCAGTCATCCAACCTGGGTTTTTTTTCAAGGTGAACTTGAGTATGTCTGAGAAGCCTTCATACAACAAAAGTTATATAGATACCTATCACAAAGTGAGTGGGATTTAAATTTTGAAGTTTTTAAACTGAGCATATCTAAAATTATTTTGCTACATGTAGTAACTGTAAGTTTCAAAGTGCTATTTTATGAATACCTTTTATAATTCTTTTTCCCAACGTTAATAAATAAGAATGAGACTTGTTTATACCGGAAGTCAGTTGAAAATAGTGTTAGTCTTTAAGGTTTCTTTCATGTCACGTGACGTCATATTATTGGATCAATTAATAACTTTGTTCACTGATTAAATTAGCTGCAGAACTGTACATGTACGTTGTAGCTCTCCGGTAAAAAATATTTTGACAAATCTATCTTTCAATTTTTTTTTTTCGGAGAGCTACAGTTTTGCAGCTATAATCAAATACAATACACACTTTCTGATCTTTACCCTTATTATTACCTTTCTTTACTTCCTTTTTAAAAAATTGAATTCTTTATTTTTAACATTTTTTTTGTTATAAAAGAGAGCCGGGACAAAAGAAATGGGTATTTTAATCAGCTACCTGCAAGTCAGTCACTATCGGTTTTCATCCGTCGTCCACAGTGCCTAAACATTTCACTATTTTTACCTGCTTTAGAAACACTAAAATACAAGAGATGTTTGAAAACACTTACCCCCCCCCTCCCCGAAATAACTGGAAATTTACCAAGTCCAGGGGACATAACTACCAAAAAGATTGACTAGTTTGTACCCAAAACAGAAATTGTCTGTCTATTAGATATTTTAATGATAAATCTGTACATCAAATTTCATTTCAATACGTGCAACCTCTACAAAGAAAGTGAACGGAAACTGCAAATAATTGGAATTTTTTCAGAGTTCAAGGAACATAACTCTACCTTTAATGGTTCGACAATACCCAAAACAGAGCTTGACCTAGCTTTTTTAATGAAAAATCTGTATGCAAAATGTGCAACTTCTACAAAGAAAGTGAACGGAAACTGTAAATAATTGGAATTTTTCAAAGTCCAAGAGGCATAATTTTGACCAAAATGGCCCGATCGTACCCAAAATAGAACTTAGCCTAATATTCTTTTAATAAATCTGTTAACAAATTTCTTTTCAAAATGTGCAATCACTGCAAATTAAATGAATGGAAATTGCATATGCAATATTCACAGATAGCAAAGTGCATTGATGAAATTTCTTTTGAGAAACGAATTTTCCTTCAGTTAAAGGTTCTGGCGTGAGATCTCGAGGAGTGATTTCTAGCTTCGTACTGTCCCATGTCGCCCGCGTGGCAAAGTGGTTGGTTAGGACGTCGATCTGCTTTAAAATTGCGTAGTAAGGAGTCGATCCTTACGATGCAGATTCGAATCCCACTGTGGCACGTGGAGACTGGTCCTTCGGATGAGACCCTATAAACCGAGGTCCATTATCGCAGTAGGTGCTGGCACGAAACAGGTTCTTCACTGCTCAATGGTCCTGAGTGCCGGGCATAGAAGAAAATTTGTAGCTTTCCATCGGCAAGTAGTGGCGTCTCCATATGAGGGAAAATTTCTCGAGAGTGACGCGCGTTCACGACATAAAATTACACAATCTAACCATTGGTATGTAACATGTCTATTAAAGGTTCCTCAAAACGCTTACATATCATGACAACGGTCTTGTTTAATTTCAGGGAGACGTATTTTGGCATTCTACTCTGGAGAAATACCCCACTGAATGCGTCAATTTTGATAGAGATAAAAGCACTTCAAAAATGTTGTACCTATGGATTTCCAAATATGGTATTCGGAACTTCTTAAAAGGATTTCAAAGACACGGAATGCTTCACTATATGATAACGGCAGAAAACGTAAGTAGATACCTCAACTTGAAGTTCCCTTTTCAATGAAAGGCTGGCAGAATTTTAAATAGTCCTTCTACAGATCACTGCATGAGAGAATAGTACTGTAACAGATAAATCTTTTTTTCTTGGAATCTTAAAAGCAAATTTAAAACTGTAATATATACTACATGTAGCTGCACATTTAAAAAATCAAAATCTAGAGTTTCTGTAGATTTTTTTTAAAAAAAGAATTCAAATAAATTTTTCTCAGATTTTTAATTCTTATATTGAAAAGAAAACTTAAATAAATAAAAAGGTTAAATATAAAGGTACTGTTTCCTATCAGTTAAACGCTGGACACGGATTGAACACTACTTGTGAAGTTGGAGTTTGTGTTGGAAGGCTTGTCCCCTCGGTAAATAGGACTGTACATTCTCTTGTTCGTGTTAGTAAATAAAGAAAACTTATTTTTTAAAATTAAATCAAAACTGCAGCTCTCGGGAATTAAAATATTTCATTTGGATTATAGATAGCAGAAAAATATCCAAATTGTTTCGTGGACCTAGACTGGTATAGTCTGAAAACACCAAACGTTACATTCGAAAAGAATTTAGCCGTTGTTAAGGGGGAAATTGTTATGTTCGTCAATATCAGAGACCCACGACCAAGTGGCCATACCACTCGAATTGCAAAACTTAATGGGGTAAGGTTTACAACATATTTACATGTATTTCTACAGTTAATAAAAGTGTACTTCGCATGTGAGTTAAACCTATATGGGGTTTCTAAGCAAAATAATCTCATTAAAACCCATAATTGCTATACCTACCGCACAGAAAAAAATTAAAACTCGTTTTTTAGGCCTAATTCGTTTTTGGTACTGACGACATGCGATAGCCATTGCACATTATGACCTCATCAACCTCTACTACACAATTTCATAAGGAACATCAACAAAATCGCTTCGGCGAAAGGGTATACCTTACTGTGTTTACAAAAACAAGGTATAAATAAGACCCTTTTCCTGTGACATATTTTGCCTAAGAGTTATTCCCCTTAGACGCCATCTTGTAGGGCAAAGTAGTGAATTTACCTCTGAGCAACCAATTTTAAACATGCATGCAAGAAATATATGGGGGAAAAAATCACAATCTTATAATCATGAATTAATAGAGGCTTTAACAAACGTAAGACAAAAATTAATTCATCATATAACTTTTTAATAAAATTATATCGAAAATTATTTTAATCGTTTTAAAAGAAATACGGTAAGATATTTTTACACAAATCATTTTGAAGAGAATTATTAATTTTGCAAAATTTTACATTCACCAGAAGTTTTTGGTCTTAGTCGTAAGTTCTTTTGTAAAACGGGCCCCAGTATAGCAAATTGAACTTGGTTGAATAATGAAGGGATCTGAGAATGTTGCCCTACAACATGGCGGCTAAGGGAAATAACTCCTAGACAATATATGTCATAGGAAAAGGGTCTATAGACACAGAATATTCCAAGGATATAAGGTGTTGCTGCACAAATGTCGACAATGTAAGTGTTGAGTTACTGTTCCTACAGTTTTAAGTTGAAACTAGTGCTAATTGTAACGGGAACCGTTACAGATGTTCCCCAAACGCTCCCCAACTCCTTTTTGGTGCCATATTCCCTGTAAGCTTCATTAAATAAGACTAACTCGATTTATTTGAGACTTTAACAACGTTTACCCAGAAGTGTACAAAGTTCATTCAAATTTTAGCATTGCACGTGTGCGCATGTGAATGCATGTGCGTAATGACCATATCATCTTGTCTACACAATCTATATATTTAAATATACTAAATATAATAAAGTATTTAATTCAAAAGTATTAAAAAGATACGCTCATTCAAGTTTTTTTTTGAGTTTGCTCATTTCACATGCACGCACGTGCATACATGAGCATGGTGACCATATCTTCTTGTAGATGTCCGTTACATCTAAATATGTTTGGTTGAAATCCAAGGGAGTTATAGCTGTTAAAGTTTCAGTTTGAGCGCACGTGCATGCACGTGTATGCATCTGCATGGTGACCATATTTTCTTGTAATATTAAATTTGGTTGAAAATCAAGGGAGTTATAGCTATTTAAAGTTTAAGCCAATCAGATTGCAGCGCACGTGCATGCACGTGTTTTCATGATAATTGCTATATCATGTTGTAGGATATACTAATGCATGGCTATTTTCAAAATTTCAAAGGATTTCGTCAAAAAACAAGAAAGATATTGAGACTTTATAGCCAATCAGAACAAAGCGCACGTGCATGCGCGTGAGATCTTGCTATTTTGACCATGTATATTCTCTATGCTTCTAATATGTCCTTATATTATAAGTTTCAAAATATTTCATCAAAAATTGTAAAAGTTACGCCTATATCAATTAAATCGGTCATTTCACATGTTGCACGTGCACGCTCTTGCAAGCACGTGCGCGCAAAATGACCTTCGTTCCGCAAATCTACATAACATGTCTACTGACCCTAAAAACATTTCACCTTAGTCGGATGTATAGTTTACACAAATTCCCGGACAAAAAAGTACCCAGGAAGAAGAAGAAAAATAATAATAATAATAATAACTAGTGCTAATTGTAACGGGGACCGTTAGATGTTCCCCAAACGCTCCCCAACTCCCTTTTGGTGCCATATTCCCTGTAATCTCTATTAGATAAGAAATACTTTATGGAATTTAGACTTAATCAAGGTCTTCCCAGAAAAATACAAAATATATTTAAAAATAGGCATTGCACGCGTGTTCATGTGCATATCGACCATATAATCTTGTCTACACTATCTCAAATTTTAATATACTTAATATTAAAGCATTTAATCCAAAAGTATTAAAATATTCACTCATTCGAGTGTATTTTTAATTTTACTCATTTAACGTGCACGCACGTGCAAGCACGTGCATAATGACTACACTTTCTTGTAGGCGTCCTTTATATTTATCTATGTTCTAAATCCCATCCTGTTTGATAGAAAAACAAGGGAGTTATAGCCATTTGAAGTTTCAGCCAATCAGATTACAGCACACATGCATCTGCGTTATTTCATAAATTTTTATCTTTATCGTATTGAAGGATATCTAAATGAATGACTATATTTTAAAATTCCAAATATTTCATCAAAAAACAAAGGAGATATAGCCATATAAAGTTTCAGCCAATCAGATTGCAGCACACGTGCATGCGCGAGATTTCATGAGTTTTTTTCTATATCATATTTTAGGATATCTTAATGCATGACTATGTTTTAAATTTCAAAGCATTTCGTCAAAAACAAAGGAGATATAGCCATATAAAGTTTCAGCCAATCAGATTGCAGCACACGTGCATGCGCGTGATTTTATGAATTTTTTTCTATATCATATTTTAGGATTTCTTAATGCATGACTATGTTTTAAATTTCAAAGCATTTCGTCAAAAACAAGGGAGATATAGCCATATAAAGTTTCAGCCAATCAGATTGCAGCACACGTGCATGCGCGTGATTTCATGAATTTTTTTTCTATATCATATTTTAGGATATCTTAATGCATGACTATGTTTTAAATTTCAAGGCATTTCGTCAAAAAACAAAGGAGATATAGCCATTTAAATTTTCAGCCAATCAGATTGCAGCACGCGCGCATGCGCATGCTTTCATGAATTTTTTTATATATCATGCTGTAGATCTTCGTAATGTAGGACTATGTCCAAAATTTCAAAAGAATATGACAAAAAACAAGAAAGATATTGAGACTTTAGTTTCAGCCAATCAGAGCGAAGCGCACGTGCATGCGCGTGAGATGTTGCTATTTTGACCATGCCATCTTGTCTATACTACTAATGTATCCTTACATTATGAGTTTCAAAAAAATTCATCAAGAAAAAGAAAAGTTACAGCAATATCCATTATATTGGTCATTTCACGTGTTGCACGTGCGCGCTCTCAAGCACGTGCGCGCAAAATGACCTTCGTTCGGCAAATCTACATAACATCCCTACTGACCCTAAAAAGGTTTTACCTAAGTCGGATGTGTAGTTTACAAGATCACTCGCGGACAAAATTTTCCCAGGAAGAAAAATAATAAGAATAATAATAACTAGTGCTAATTGTAACGGGGACCGTTACAGATGTTCCCCAAACGCTCCCCAACTCCGTTTTCGTGCCATATTCCCTGTAATCTCTATTAGATAAGAAATACTTTATGGAATTTAGACTTAATCAAGATCTTCCCAGAAAAATAGAAATTATATTTAAAAATAGGCATTGCACGCGTGTTCATGTGCGTAACGACCATATTATCTGGTCTACAATATCTCAAATTTTAATATACTTAATATTAAAGCATTTAATCCAAAAGTATTAAAAAATTCACTCATTCGAGTGTATTTTTAATTTTACTCATTTAACCTGCACGCACGTGGAAGCACGTGCATAATGACTACACCTTTTTGTAGAAGTCCTTTATATTTATCTATGTTCTAAATCCCATCCTGTTTGGTTGAAAAACAAGGTGCCATTTGAAGTTTCAGCCAATCAGATTACAGCACACATGCATGCGCGTGATTTCATAAATTTTTATTTTTATCGTATTGAAGAATATCTAAATGAATGACTACATTTTAAAATTCCAAACATTTCGTCAAAAAACAAAGGAGATATAGCCATATAAAGTTTCAGCCAATCAGATTGCAGCACACGTGCATGCGCGTGATTTCATGAATTTTTTTCTATATCATATTTTAGGATATCTTAATGCATGACTATGTTTTAAATTTCAAAGCATTTCGTCAAAAAACAAAGGAGATATAGCCATTTGAAGTTTCAGCCAATCAGATTGCAGCACGAGCGCATGCGCATGCTTTCATGAAATTTTTATATATTATGCTGTAAATCTTCATAATGTAGGACTATGTCCAAAATTTCAAAAGATTATGACAAGAAACAAGAAAGATATTGAGACTTTAGTTTCAGCCAATCAGAGCGAAGCGCACGTGCATGCGCGTGAGATCTTGCTATTTTGACCATGCCATCTTGTCTATACTACTAATGTATCCTTACATTATGAGTTTCAAAAAAATTCATCAAGAAAAAGAAAAGTTACAGCAATATCCATTATATTGGTCATTTCATGTGTTGCACGTGCGCGCTCTTGCAAGCACGTGCGCGCAAAATGACCTTCGTTCGGCAAATCTACATAACATGTCTACTGACCCTAAAAACATTTTACCTTAGTCGGATGTGTAGTTTACAAGATCACTCGTGACAAAATTTTCCCAGGAAAAAAAATAATAATAATAATAAGAAACAGAGTAAAAACTTTGTTCCCCAACTTCGTTTGGGGAACATAATAAGAAACAGTAAAAACAATATGTTCCCCAACTTCGTTTGGGGAACATAATAAGAAACAGAGTAAAAACAATATGTTCCCCAACTTCGTTTGGGGAACATAACAAGGTAAAAAGCCACAGTCCAGTGTAAGTTTCCTAAAATTGTTATCGATTGAGAAAGTGCATAATTAGGATTTGTGCAGCTATTTTCTTAACTTTTTAGAATATTATCCTTAATATTATATATTACTTATTTTAAGAACTACGATGTCATAATGTGAACTAGCTCTAACATGCTGTGTATACTAAATATGAATCAGAAATCAATTTGAACTTGTCTTTCTCTGTATATTAAATTTACAACTTGATACATTTTCATTAGCTCATTTGCATAGAAACGCCGATATTTAGCCTTAACTCACAGACACTGACTACAAGGTGGACATTTACATTTATAAAATTTAAGTTTGTATTTATATGTATATAATTCATCTTTAAGCTATCGTCAATAACAATGGAAAATTATTTTATATTATTTTAAGGATGTGACATTACGGCTCAAATTATACATCACAAATGGAACTAGAATACAGGGGACAGTCGTCGCTTTTGAGTAAGTTTCATGAACATCTGTAACATTGCTAGTCGTTTAGTAAAATTATAAACTGAACAATTGTGTGGATTTATTTTATTTTGATCAAGGATAAATTTTTCTAAGGAAGACATGCCGTTCATTATAGCCGTAGAGTCTAGTTATTTAAATGTATACTGTAATATTATCGTAAAAAATAACTTTTGAGACTACCCCTATTGCCATACTATATATTGTACTGTGTGTGAAGTCCGTATGATTTTTGTACTTCCGTTTTTGATGTTAATACACGAGGCAGAATTCAGGGTTCTTATTTTTTCCAACCCATACTTTACAATTCTACATGGTGTCAAAATCATGGAGGGAATTCCACAGCCACAGCCCGTAGTAGAATGGGAGTCCACAAACTTGCCTGAGGCTTGGAGAAAATTCCAAGAACACGCACAGTTATTTTTGACGGTCCCCTAAAGAGTAAAGGGAGGAGGAAAAGTGCTCATACTTGCTTCTCTGGGTGGGAGACAAAAGTAGAGACATTTTTAATATTTGGAATCTCTCATCAGATGACAGTAAAAAATTAAAGACTTTAATATATGATCGATTCAAAATTCACGTGCAACTAAAAATCGATCCAGTGTTCGCCACTTATAAATTCAATAAAGTGGTTCAGGACAGCGCCACATTTGATCAGTTCATTGCTAAACTCAAATTACTAAGTAAAGACTGTGCGTACACCGATAGCGGTGAAATGATCCGAGAGAGGATCGTGTTCGGTGTGTCATCCAGTAAGATACTAGAGAAACTCGTTAACGTGGGAAAGGAGGCTCTTACTTTTGAGAAGCCATCGAGATTGGCCAGAATTTTGAATATTCCCTAGAGCAGATCAAATCCATGGGAAGTAACTCACCCGAGTTCCACGCCATCCGTGCGCAAACCAAGCAGAAATCAGGACGTGCGGCACAATCTGGTGGAGACAGAATCACTTACCCAAAGCAGCATGGTACCCAGGTAACTGTGGTAGAGATCATAGTGATACAGGTTTATGCCCTGCAAAGGGGAAACAGTGTGATAAATGTAAAAAAAAAATGAAATAACTTTGCAGCTGTGTATAGATCATCTGCTTATGTTACGGTCAGTGAGGTAACCACACAACCAGAATATGGGGGAGGGGCAGATAGTGATTGTGATTTTAGTATTGATAGCATTGGAGTCTCAAAATCTATATACCCCTCATGCTAGCCCAGACCAAGCATTCACGTATTTACACATAGGTCCAGGTCGGGTCCCTGTAAGATTTAAGATAGATACCAGGTCCCAGGTTAACTTCTTACCAGTTCGTCAGTTTAAGGACATTGGTACAGTGTACTCTTGGCAGTCTGCGCAAAGCAACAAAAGCGACAAGCAAGGGGGTACTGAGGACCTATTCTAACTCGGATCCCCACAGGGCAAGATGTTTTTATCGGACTATTATTTGGAGAATGCGAAATACGCATTGATGAGAATGCAATACCTGTAGTCAGCTAGAGCGTATGGAAAATTGTGGTGCTATAACAAGAGTCACAGAGCCTACAAAGTGGGTCAATTCCGAGCTCCGGGAAATTAAGTTTGTTTAGACCCCCGCCATTTGAATTCGGCTATATTGATTCGGCCTCAATACCCCAATGAGAACGTCGGAAGACATAATTCCCAGTTTAGATGGTGCTCGATACTTTTCAAAACTTGACGCTCGTTCCGGATATTGGGCAATGAATTTGTCCGATAAGTCGTCATTTTTGACTAACTTCAACACGCCTTTCGATAGCTTCTGTTATCTTCGGATGCCATTTGGCATCAAGTCCGACCAAGACGAGTTTCAGCGCAAAATAGACGAGATTTACGACGGACTAAATGGAGTCACTACACTTGCTGATGATATCCTTGTCTACGGCAAAACACGCAAAGAAGGGCGTGAAGCTTAACTCCCACAAGCTTGTTATTGGCCTTACTGAAATGCCATACTTTGGACACGTATTGTCTACAGAGGGTCTAAAACCTAACCCGAGCAAAATCGCTGCTATCCGAGATATGGAACCTCCGCGTGACCTTAAAGAACTAAAAAAGGATCTAGGCATGATTGACTATCTCGCCAAATTCTCTCCTAAAATATCTGAAATCACGCACCCGATGCGATAGTTCAATATATATGAATAAGTATGTATCTTAGTGTAGTCTACTTGTGTGCTAAGTTATATTGAAATCGGGCCAAAAACAGAGAATTATGCATCTTAGTGTAGTCTACTTGTGTGTCAAGTTATACTTGACTGTAGGAGGAGTAGCATTTTGAAAGAATGTCACAGAAATTTCTATTTTTAGTAACCATGGCAACATCGTTCATCGAAATCAAAAACCGATAAACAGAATTATGTATCTTAGTGTAGTCTACTTGTGTGCCAAGTTGTACTGAAATCAGACCAAAACTGTAGGAGTAGCAATTTGAAAGAATTTCACAGAAATTTCTATTTTTAGTAACCATGGCAAAACCGTTCATCGAAATCAAAAATTATGTATCTTATTGTAGTCTATTTGTGTGCCAAGTTATATTGAAATCAGACCAAAACTGTAGGAGGAGTAGCATTTTGAAAGAATGTAACAGAAATTTTTATTTTTAGTAACCATTGCAACATCCTTCATCGAAATCAAAAACCGATGCACAGAATTATGTATCCTAGTGTAGTCTACTTGTGTGCCAAGTTGTACTGAAATCAGACTTAAACTGTAGGAGGAGTAGCATTTTGAAAGAATGTCACAGAAATTTCTATTTTTAGTAACCATGGCAACATAGTTCATCGAAATCAAAAACCGATACACAGAATTATGTATCTTAGTGTAGTCTACTTGTGTGCCAAGTTGTACTGAAATCAGACCAAAACTGTAGGAGTAGCAATTTAAAAGAATTCCACAGAAATTACTATTTTTAGTAACCATGGCAATACCGTTCATCGAAATCAAAAAACCGATGCACAGAATTATGTATCTTAGTGTAGTCTGTTTGTGTGCCAAGTTATATTGAAATCAGACCAAAACTGTAGGAGGAGTAGCATTTTGAAAAAAATGTCAAAGAAATTTCTATATTTAGTAACCATTGCAACATCCTTCATCGAAATCAAAAACCGATGCACGGAATTATGTATCTTAGTGTAGTCTACTTGTGTGCCAAGTTGTACTGAAATCAGACCAAAACTGTAGGAGGAGTGGCATTTTGAAAGAATGTCACAGAAATTTCTATTTTCAGTAACATGGCAACATCCTTCATCGAAATCAAAAACCGATCCACAGAATTACATGTACATGTATGTATCTTAGTGTAGTCTATTTGTGTGCCAAATTGTACTGAAATCGGGTGTTGCTAAAACGCGGAACGGAAAACGGAACGGAAAGCGGAATATATTATTTTGGATTAAATCACTTAAAATACACAAAATTTATCATAAACGATATATTTTGTACATATTCAATCCCCCACTATTAAATACAAGTTGATTTTATCATGCTCAGTCTCTTTTTTTACGAAAATCGCTAACATATAGCAGTCACCTAGAATCGAATTTGAAAAGGGGGGATAAACGAACTTGAAAAGTATTTGACAAGCAATAACACAAAAAGAAACAATTGTTTGATTCGGGAGGGGGGGGGGGTAAAACACAAAAAGAAAACAATTGTTTGATTCGGGAGGGGAGAAAGGTTCCAATTCCAACATCTTTCAGTACTACTTTTTTTACACTAACTTACTACATTAATTAAATTCACAAAAAGTGTGAGGATGTCAACTTAAACGAACATTTCCGTAGTAAAAAGGTTATGACTGGGGGATCAAATATTTGATATCTAAATGAACCATGAAAGAGAAAAAAAATGTAAAAAAAAAAATTATGATAATACGTTAAGGGCAAACCTTTACGGCAAGCTCGAAGAAACATCTCTTATACACACTGGTTGTTAAAATTTTATTCAAAATAGAGACATTTTCTATATATTTAAATTCTGGAAAGACAAAGTTGGAAAACTTTCATGTCATTCAATGAAGTTAAATTCTGTTTGCGGTATATATGTGTGTATGTTTGGGTGAGGGGTGGTGTATATGAATGACCCCGAAAAAATGAGTTTGTTTTCCCACTCATTGGAAAGGTCTGAAAAGTTGTAATAGGTATGCCCCCCTTTTTGTGTCAAAAATATACATAAAGTTTAATAAATCAATTTCTAATGTGACTGTGGGCCCCTACATAGACCTGAAACTGCCACTCCCCCTTTCATGATTCGCGAATTCGACACTGCGCGTGCATAATCTGAATATCATAAATAGTTATTTTTGTCTTTACAGACATTGACATTGGAAACAAATTGAAAGAAAGGGGGGGGGGGGGGGGGTCAGTAAAAATTTTCCGACATACAACAAATTTGACAAACCAAAAAAAAAGGGGGATATGTCCTTTGCCCAAACACGAAAATCCTATTTCGCGTGTGTGTGTGTTGGGGGGGGGTCGAATTTCTTTCAGTACCATTTTTTCCACGGAAGTTGTGTATGACTGATGAATATATAACAGTTTACAATAAATTTTTATCAGAAATGATTTTTACAACAAGAATATTGCTTTTTTATCTGATTTATATCGAATCCGTGTTATTTGTTTGACAAAAATTTTCCGTTTTCCGTTCCGTTCCGCTCTCCGTTCCGTTTTCCGTTCCGCGTTTTAGCAAAACCCACTGAAATCAGACCAAAACTGTAGGAGAAGCAATTTGAAAGAATTTCACAGAAATTTCTACTTTAAGTAACTGTGGCAACACCGTTCATCGAAATCAAATACCGATAAACAGAATTATGTATCTTAGTGTGATCTATTTGTGTGCCAAGTTATATTGAAATCAGACCAAAACTGTAGGATGAGTAGCATTTTGAAAGAATTTCACAGAATTTTCTATTTTTAGCAACCATGGCAACACCGTTCATCGAAATCAAAAACCGATACACAGATTCATGTATCTTAGTATAGTCTACTTGTGTTCCAAGTTATATTGAAATCGGACCAATACTGTAGGAGGAGTAGCATTTTGAAAAATTGTTTACAGACAGATAGACAGATGGACGGGCGCACTACTATCGCATAAGTTCTTCTGGTCCTATCAGTAGAGCTAAAAATGAAGATGCCACCAAAAGGAAACGAGGGGATCTGTCCAACTCCAGTAGCGTATCAACACCAGTACTGCAATCATTTTCACCATGAGTCTCTCCTGTTAGGATTAGACTGCTATTCGTTCTAAAGTCCTCAGAAGACCCCTGAATCTAGTTGCTAGAATCCGAAATGCATTGTCTTCCACTCTACTTCCCCCATTAAATCTATAATTATTGTAAAATTTAATCCTGTCTTCTCTGGACATTTTTCTTTTGCTGTATGGTTTGATGAGGTTGTTTAGAAGAGGAAAGGCATCATCTCCTTGGATAAAGAAAGGCATGTCCTTGAGGTCATCAGGGCATGAAGTAAGAGGACAAAGTGGCGTAGTCCTAAACTAAATAAGTACATAGTTATGTTGAATAAGGCTGCCTCTTCCAAAACCGTGAATTCCATGGCCCCAGGGTTAGGGGTTCTTTTCAGATTATTGTGCTATAGTGTGTCAACTTCCTGTTTGTCTGTGTGTCTGTCCGTTCCATACATAACAAATTTTCGTCGCAGTTTTCTCAGGAACTACTCATCGCAGATGCTTTAAATTTTATCACAATCTTCTCTGAGGCATGCCATACGGTGGGATACATTTTTCTTCAAATCCGATGTCAATTTCCTGTTTGTCTGTGTGTCTGTCCGTTTCATACATAACAAATTTTCGTCGCAGTTTTCTCAGGAACAACTCATCGCAGATTGTTGAAATTTTATCACAATCTTCTCTGAGGCATGCCATACGGTGGGATACATTTTTCTTCAAATCCGATGTCAACTTCCTGTTTGTCTGTGCGTCTGTCCGTTTCATACATAACAAATTTTCGTTGCAGTTTTCTCAGCAACTACTCATCACAGATGCTTGAAATTTAAACACAATCTTCTCTGAGGCATGCCATTCGTTGGGATACATTTTTGTTCTAATCCAATGTCAACTTCCTGTTTGTCTGTGCGTCTGTCCGTTTCATATATAACAATTTTTTGTCGCAGTTTTCTCAGGAACTACTCATCGCAGATGCTTGAAATTTTAACACAATCTTTTCTGAGGCATGCCATATAAGACGTTCAAGGCCGTTGAACAACCTCGAGTCACCAAATATCTAACATGTTTTTTTACCACCTAGCTTGATTCATACAAACTTGTGACATGCATCCACCAAAACAAGAAGTGAAATTGAAAAGAAACATTTATAATTAAAGTATACACTGCCACTTTGATGTGGTTTCTTGGTAGAAATGTGTTTCCCATCCAGGGCGCCAACAGCATTCCATATCTGCTGAAACTGTACAACTTAGGGTTTCCATGCTTCAGGGGGTCACAGGTAAGCTAAACAACTTGATTTTATATGTTTTTACAAATGTCTGGTACACTTCTGGGTCCATTTATGAGATACTAGACACCACATCAAAATGCATACGCAAGTGCCCGATAGCTACCCGGTATATCCAGTGGCAAAGTGTGCTGCCTGATCCTCAAGTGACTGTCCAGAAGATTAGAAAAATGGCCGAACTGTTGTCTTCTATTCTCTGTGAGCCAAGGTCGCACCAAAATGTGCTTGAGTGCAGGTCTTCTAACCATTCTTTGACAGGATTGTTCATGGTTGTATATAGTACATGTATATCTGTTGTTCTTCCTCTTCTTCGATACCAATAGCACATGAACAAAGTAGTATTTCAAACACCACATTGTCATCAACCTCATTTCTGCCATTCTTATTGATTGTTTTTGTTGTGTTTACTTTTTCCATAGATTAAATAAAATGGATTGTATATAAACAGACTGTTAAAAATTATATCTGTCGGGGTACAATCGTAGCTGAAAGCGTGTTTCATTTTCATCCCGATCGTGAAAAACGTTGCACTGAACGTGTTGTTCTATCGAAATTAGCGCAAGGGGCCGTGATGAACGTATTATATCGTAAAAGTACGTATTTTAACATAGAAGATCATTACAAATCGGAGGCTCAGAGCGTGATATCCGTAACAGATCGAGGTCCTTTTTTCAAATAAATCTCGATAATCCTATTGGAACGTAATTCTTATCTGAACGGGTAGTCACATCGTCAGAGATCGCGTCACATGAAAATAATCCATCGTCACCATATACCGCACCAAAGCGCATGAAATCGTATAATGAAAACGCACCTATATATGCGCATATCCTCGTATGATATTCAATAGAAACTCTGCGATCAGCTACGAATGATATAGCGTGGCATTATTAACAAACCGTACGACAGTTGGAACGTAGCATTAGTAAAACAGTGCAACCAGTATACATAAACTTCAGAATCAAGGAGGCTATTTTTTAAAATTTTATTGCCTCAAATGATTTTTTTAGTTTGCACTCTCCAGTAATCAAATACAATTAGATTGAAAATCACTTGTACTAATAGACATCATTTTTTAAACTCTTTAGTCCATATATGAAGAATATTGACGTTGATCCCAAAATTACAGGATTCGATGTAAGTTAAACATTATCATTCAATATTATTTTCACAGCATAAGTAGTATTCATTTTATACTTTTTAAAAGAATATATACTGATACATGTATATTGTAATAATTAGTATAACTTTCATTTTATTTATTCAAGGAGCAGACGGTAAACTTTATTCTGCTAGGAGCAGTTGTAGTGACAGCGGAACCGAAACTAAATGGTGAGGTTTTGATTGGAAGCTCCAAGATTCAATCTAATAAAGTTAAAATACCTGAAACAGTTCACACATACTCGTTCCCATTTTTGATGTATATAAAATATTGATAGTTTTTAATCAATAGCACAGATAGCTTGGCTTTATATATTATCGCAGAAATTAATATGTTTCTTGATTATATTAGTGTAATAAGCGGGCTAACAAAGAATGGAAATTTTGCTCGATACTCCGGCATTATTATTATAGATAGTTAGTTTTCACTTGACCTAAATTTAGCAAAAGTTACCTCCCGTTGGCAGCCGTACTGGAGGTCCAAATGCTCATATTGCATCATTGTTCAAGCAATTTTAAATTTTTATATTTGCGATTTTGATTTAGGAATCATTATTTTACTGAAGTATATAATTTTTTGGAAGCCTCCTTTATTTAAAAAAAAATATTTAATAAAGATTTTCCACCAAATATTTCTGCTATATTTTTTAAAACTTGATAAGACAAAGAGGACAACTCACCGAGTCGACCTCCAATATGGCGACCAACGGGAGGTAACTTTTGCTAAATTTAGGTCCATCGAAAACTATCTATTATACCCCGCCCCCGCTTGAAAAGTGAGAGGGTAAATATAGTTATCAGGATGTCCGTCTGTTACGCTTTAGGGTACCCACCTCTTATCCGCAACTCCTCTCATACCACTGAATGAAATTTGATAAACTTTCACAGAATCTTTATTACATATTGCCATTGTGACCTCCTATTTTACTTTTTGACCCGAAACATATTTTGGAATTCCTATAGCAAAACATGGATACTGCCATTATATTTATAAAGTAGGCTGTGTCTCATTTAGTGAGCTCATTGCTCACAGTACCTCTAATTTATCTTATTATCTCTCTACAATATCTGTAGTACATAATTATGTATATTCACAATTGTTGAGCTTAGAAGGAAATACACACGCTAATATAACTCTCGATTTCCGGGGATAGACGATATTTTTAATTGAAAATGGACTTTCAAGCATCACCATATTTTGAAATAGTCTCGGATATGATTAAATGTTCCTTTTAAACTTTTCTTATGGTTTCGGCAAATATGAATAAACATAAATATATGTATAAAAAATATGTTTTAGTTGTAAATAGCTTTGAAATCGGTGAAAAATAAGCATGTTTGTCGTTTTTGTCAGTAAACATACTAGTACCCCCCCCCTCCCCCTGTGAAACACAAAAAGCTTTGGTAAGAATTTGTGAAACAACAGTCCATTTTACCTGTAAAAAGGAATTTTTGAGTCAGGGGGGATGTTTTACAAATATTTTCCGTTGATTTCTACAGTGAAACTTTTTATTTCATTAAAGCCCCCACATGGGGTATGTTAGTACAACAAGAACTTAACAATTGAACAAGTAAGCATGTGAACAGTAAGATGATGAACAAGAAAAAGATCTTTGATATGGACATTACTGATGGATCTAAAAAAAAAATGAAAAATAAATTTTACATCGTATGAAGTTCAGGCACTAAATGTTTTAAGAACAGTTTTACAAAACTTTGCTAAACCTGTTAGTTCATATATATCACAAGTATTCATCAAATCATAAAAAGATATTGTGTTTGGGTTCATGTAAATATTTTTAGGTATAAATTTCTGTCTTTCATTTTTTAAAAAAAGGAAACTTGAATAAATAACGAAACTCATCACCAAGTTCGTTGTTATTTCAGAGGTTACAATTATGTCTCTCAGATCTATAAATACTATAAAATCTATCAGCTTCACTTGGCAAGTTATGACTGACACAACGAAATTTACTTGAATATAATATAAGATCATTTGGTAACATGTTTAAATAATTTTCGAAACCAAAATTACACTTGTACATTCTATAGTGGAGGTATTTTAGAGAATTAATACATTTACATTCCAGTTTTGATAAAATTATTTTTTAATGTATTCTTAACTAACGCACCAATTTTGCATGATTTATCAACATACTGAGCATTTCACATTAGGTCCCAATTACAATCATATAAAATATTCTTAATTTCCATAAGCAATGTTGAATGGTAAAGACCTTTTAAACTAAACTGATACAAAATTGAGTACAATGTGAAAGAAATTTTCTCATTTTTACCACACAGAATCTTTTTCCAGAAGCTAGCAATTCTAGACTTTACTAATATACTAAGTGGTATTCTACCCAGCTCTCCATAAACAATACAATAAGGAGTAATCTTTTTAACTTTCATTTTTTTTTTTTACAAAATTCCATATGAAAGGATTTTAAAATGTTAAAGTTTTCAAAACCCCATACTTCTTCACCATACAACAATATAGGTACAACCATAGTGTCAAAAAGTTGCATTTGCATATCAATAGGTAAATTTAATTTCCTAGATTTTCTAAGATCAACATAGTTACATAGCTTTTTTGGCTTGTTGAACCAGATGTGATTTTGCATCATTAAAAGTACCTTTACTAGAAAAAATTATTCCATGATACTGAAAATTTCTAACAATTTCTAGTTTTTCACCATTATAGGTAAAATGTAAATAATCAGTGTTCAGGTTAGAGCGAGAAAAAATAACTTTTGTTTTAAGAGAATTAACTTGCATCTTCCAAGTTTGACAGTACAAGTACATTACATTTAAAGAAACCTGCAGTTCAGCAGCTGACTCTGCTAAAATAACTGTATCATCAGCATACAACAACAAATACAAACGTAAATAGACAGTTATCTCATCAGTATATATCTAACAAGTGAACTGCCGTATTCATATCTACAAGACCATTATAGGCATGTGACATAAATTCAATCAAATCATTAAGAAAAATGGCAAACAAAACAGGTGATAAATTTTCACCTTGACGTACACCAATATTTGAAATTAAAAAAAAAAATTGATCAAGAACTACATGTACCTTGTCTTACACAAGACTTTGCATTACTGTACATACGAGGGTTGTCCCAGGCGTAGACAATGTTTATACCTTTTTAAACATGAAACCAATACATGTACTAACCAAATTTTGCATAGATATGCTAGTAATATATTCAATGTTCTTTAAAATTGTGAATTCTTTATTATATATCTTTCATATTAAAAATAGACGATTTATATGAAGGTCTATAAGGTCTGTCGGCACACAAACAAAATTCGGAATAATTTACGCATATAACTATTCTATTTGCTTTTATTTCTTTAGTACTATGTAAAACATTGAACTCAAATTTAAATCAGTGAAACCAGGATCAAAAATTTAACAATTTGTCAAAATTTCATATAAATAGCAACAGAAACAGACGCTTGGTGTCATGACTTTCAGAGTGTTGTTGGAATTGACTTTGATGAAAATGACGTCGTCAAAGATGTAACAAATTGTTTTGGATATGGTTTATGTACATCAGAGACGGGGGAAAAAGAGTAAAGAAGTGACTTACACATTAGATTTTAATAGAGAAGTTATTTTTAAATAGCATGAGATTCAATGAGAGTTTTTCCTCAATACCGAAAATGGTTACAGCATGTAAGAAGTAGAGTAATGTTTGTTTAACACAGACAATGGGGAACGATCTTGGCCACGTACGACGTCAATGTGTATTCTCTGCTACCTACAATATTAATGTAAGGCAATCTTTCGACTAAATTTCGACTGAAATTTGAATCTGCTTAAAAAACAACAAAAACGGACAGTAGTGAATTTAAATAAGTCCATTAGTCAAGAGTCACTGTGGTCTTTCACTTAAAAAAATATTAAATGTTAACAGACGCGTCTGAAGCAGAAAAAGAGATCATGACGTTATAAGAAACATAAATTACGCTTGCTTTTCGCCCGCCGATGTACACTTAATGCATTCTTTATTTTAGAATAATTTTATTATTTAATGTGATATCATCATGAAACTTGAAATACATGATCATAAAATGTTACTTTTTGTTATGAAAAGGAAAGAAATTTAATTTAGCAAAGAGAAATTAAACTGTTTTCCCTGTCTACGACTTTTTGGGACAACCCTCGTATTTTGTATTATTTTTAACATGTTTCCATCTACAGAATATTTCAAAATTTTTTGCCATAAAAAGCTCTTCGTACAGTGTCAAATGCTTTACGATAGACAATAAAAGCACAATATAATTTTCAACCTTTATGTAAATACAAGTCAATTAAACATTTAAGGTTAAATATACGAGGGACGTTCAATAAATAATGTCATCGGGGCTCGGAAAGAAGCAAAAGACGCTTTTTAATGATTTAATCTTCATAATTTTACTTATTAATCTCTTTTGATTATAATAGATGTCCGTTAAAGTTTTTATTAGCTCACCTGAGCCGAAGGCTCAAGTGAGCTTTTCTGATCACATTTTGTCCGTCGTCCGTCCGTCCGTCTGTCAGTCTGTCCGTCCGTCTGTCCGTCTGTCTGTCCGTCTGTAAACGTTTCACATTTACGACTTCTTCTCAAGAACCACTGGGCCAATTTTAACAAAACTTGGTACAAAGCATTATTTGGTAAAGGGAAAATTAAATTGTGAAAATGAAGGGCCAAGTCCCCTCACAAGGGGAGATAATCAAGAAAAGACAAAAATAGGGTGGGGTCATTAAAAAATCTTCTTCTCAAGAACCACTGGGCCAGAAAAGCTGAAACTTATGTTGAAGCATCCTTGGATAGTGTAGATTTTAAATTGTAAAAATCATGACCCCCAGGGATAGGGCGGGGCCACAATGGGGAATCAAACTTTTACATAGAAATATATAGGAAAAATCTTTAAAAATTTTCTTCTCAAGAACCACTGGGCCAGAAAAGCTGAAACTTATGTGGAAGCATCCTTAGGTAGTGCAGATTCTAAATTGTTAAAATCATGACCCCCGGGGATAGGGCGGGGCCACAATGGGGAATCAAACTTTTACATAGAAATATATAGGAAAAATCTTTAAAAATCTTCTTCTCGAGAACCACTGGGCCAGAAAAGCAGAAACTGATGTGTAAGCATTCTTAGTTAGTGCAGAT